ACATTGTATAAAAGTAAAAAACTGCCTTCATTGTATTCCCATGAGAAATGGAACTAACCTGTGAGAAACTATCTGAATGTTACACAAAGTAGATTCCATATACAATGTAAGATTCCATCTATGCTTCCTTTGTTCCTGAGAAAAAGAAACCTATAAAGCTTTAGTTTAGACCCTCCCCCTTGTTCAGAAATTTGTTGATTGTTAAATCACTTCTGAACCTTTTTGCGCAAAAATAAAAATCTCTCTCTTTCACCCTCTGGAATTTCGTAAAAGTCCTTATATTTTATAAGGCTTTATTTTTCCACAAGACAATGATTTTAATTTTAAATTTCAATTGCTCAATAAATGTTACCACATTATCTAAATATTTGCTCATCTTCAAGATTATACAGTACAGTCTTTTTTGCAAGAGTATTTCACTATTTATTGTTAAGATAACTATATGAAAGTTATAACATCTAATCATGGTTCTTGAGAGCACACAAATTATTTAATACTATAATTAGATCTGTCTCCTAAAGAGAGATCCCTTAACTATAACTTCTTATCTAAATGCCTATTAATTGGTTTTGTGATATAACTGTATCTTATATACTATCATTAACCTGCTGTAAATGTAGCAGAATCAAAGTATAGTAAATAAATATCTGGACCAATTGCTAATAGTTCACAAAGAAAGCATGTTTGAAAATGCACATTTGTTTCAGATATTTCTATCCTAAAGGGGAAGAGGAAAAAATATGTTCTTACGCAGAGCGGCATACTCCCAACTGCTTTCTTTTCCTTTACGTTCCATTTCCCATTTTAAATATTTTTAAACTCAACTGTATGTTGGGGGTGGGGGTGGGTAAGAGTAACTGAAGAAAGGAAAGGACTATTCATAACCAGTTCAGTCACACTGGTACAGCGTTTTGGACAGAGAATATTTTGCAGGTCTTTAAATAAATTTCCCTCCAAAACAAATATTTGACTAAGCTCAAGGTAAGGAGCTTGTCCAGTTTTGCAATGGAAACTGAGTTACATAGTATTTTTTTTCCTATAAACTTGTCATTATGAAATATACCCAAAGTGGCGGTGAAAATGCTTGCTCCATTAAATAAGTATTGCAATAAAATCGTTTGCTGTGGTTATTTAAGAGAACTACCCACCAACTTATGATCATGTCTGGAAATGTTTTCTAACTGGTGCAACTGCCATTTGGTTTGCTTTGGTTACCCTGTTTATTCAGAAGACATAGAGCACCATAAAAGGTCTTAATAACCAGAAATACTATAGAAGCTGTGTATGGTAGCCCCAAAATAGTAACACTGTATTATCAAATGCAGTTAAAGAAGACAGAAATATATTTTAAGGTTTAAAAAAAAATCTGTAATTGGATACAAGTTTTCAGCACACTTAAATCAACTCAAGCAGTAGCACAACTTTCATCCCATATTAAAAGTTTCATTAAGAAGCAGCACTACAATATAGCAACATGGATACTAAATGTATTCCGCTTATATGCTCCAGCTAAAGTTTTTTCTGAAGATGGAATTACAAACAGTTCAGTCATAGCAAATTGTAGAGTATTCTTTAATAAGAAGTCAGGCTTTCTGGGAACAAACGTAGTTGGTGGTGTCAGAACTTTCAATTTACTTGACAGAATGAAGCAAACAGCATTTAAAATTAAGGTCATACTGTCCAGCTGCACGGGAATATCTTTATTATTATTTATTAAATTTATATGTCACCCGTATTGCCTAGAGGCAGCTTATAAAAACAGCAAAATGTTAAAATTAAAATGTTAAGATCATAAATATTAAAATTAACAAAGGTGTCAAAAAAGGAAACAAGGTATTAATCAGAATTCAAGCTTTCTACATACCCAATCCCTTTAATGTTATTTCCTTGATCATATTTTCATTGAAAAAGTAAAAGGGCGGGGAGAAAGAGAATGAAAAGTGAGCTCATTTCAGATACCTGAAATCTTCAATATTTGCACAAAAATACCTTAAACATATTTTGAAAGCCTATGATGAATTATCATCATCTAGAGCAGGCATATCAAACTTGCGACATCATGTGATGTCACACAACGTATTGGGACTTTTTCCCCATTGCTGGCAATGGGGTCGACGCAGTTTCAGCGTGACATATCCGGCCCACGGGCCGGCAGTTTAACATGCCTGATCTAGAGGTCCATCACAGATGATACACTAGCAATGCAACCTTAATGTTCTTTTTATACTATAAAGGATCTCTGTGGTGTTAATGAATCATTCCAGAGTAGTAAAGTAGTAAACCGCAGAGCAATACACCTACCTTTGGTAAAATGTATAGCACCCAGCACTCAGTACAACCCTTTCAAACACAAATTGTAAATAACTGTAAAAACACTGACCACCATGAAGTAACCCTGCGTTGCTTATAGTACCATCTCAGAGGAAACCCCATTCCTTCAAAGTACTATAACAAAGTTTAATAGTTTGCCTGTGAGAAACTCTTGTGTTATTTGCAGAACAGATCTGACCAAGGAGACTAAAGGTTTTTGCTGATACTCACTTAGTATGTGAACTCCAAGATCGATGAAGGGAAAGACTAGGGACAACATGCAGGTGACTAAAACAGGCATGGGTTGCCTAAGAAAACAGGGAAGGTATTTGGATAGGTAACAGTAGAACTATTTCAAAATTCTGATGTACTGTAGCTGTTAATGTGTACTTTATAAATGTTCCTATTAATTCAATTACCTCCCTTTTTACGACCCTATAGTCCCTATTCGGGGTTGAGTTAAGGCGACTGATGCAGCTGTTTCTATTAATTCAATTAATTTCTAGTAATGATATGAAACATCTATAAAAAACAATCTGTCTTCAGCTGTCAGTTCTTAAAATAACTGCATTATAGGTAGTTCTTGCTCAATGACTACTTGTTCAGTGATCAAACTTGCAATGTGCTGAACAAATGGGTACTCAAGAGTTCTGGCTTCTGCAACAACCTCACAGTGATGTGATTGCCATCTGCAATCTTCTTTGCTGGCTTCCGACAAGCAGAATCAATGAGGAAGCTGGCAAGAGATCACAAATGATGATCACGTGATGTTTTCACTTAATGACTCACAATGATTTGTTAACAGCAACCAGGAGTGCCAGAATTTCCATTGCTAAACAGCATAGTCACATGATGTCACGCTCTACCGAATCTGTCAACACTGCTAACATCGGATGTCCTTGCTTTGACAACAGATGGAAATGCAGCCATTTTTCCTCTATTGCTTTTAGAATTAGTTGATGCTGGGATGGGGAATGTGGATGAGAGTCCAACTAGTCATAACAATAACTCAGCCGTGGGAACCCAAGGTCATTGAGCCCTAAGTTGATAGAGTTTTGGCGGGCTGGAGAGCTGGGGAGAAAGCTCGCGCTTCAAATTAATTGGGGAATGTGATTTATGACTGTTTATTGGAGGAGGGAATTGTGCTTTGTTACATTGTACCCAGGGGAAGGGAATTTAGTTTTTTGTTTCAACTATGCAGTGCCGATACTATGTTTCTTGAATAAAAGATTCTTTAAGGTAAACAATGCTTTGAAGTTCTTTTGAAGAGTTTCATCTGTCGGAACCATGACAAAATCACTTAGTGACACCAATTCCATTCCCAACTGTGCTCACTAAGGACATTCTGTAGGGAAAAATTTTGGTCCAGGATACCAGGGGCTAATGGTCACATTAGCTGCCCAATTTTCATTCATCCATTATCTATTGTCACCCATCTGGTAGAACTTCTTTAATAATTCATTTATTTTCAAGCTGTTTTAGTTACAAGTGAAATCCACATAGGATTATCATATCCTTACAGCTTATTTTTCCAGGTCTCAGTTTACTAAAAAGTGATGCAGTTAATTACATTTAAGTTCCATTAAAATTAATATTTGTTGTTAGTTGCGAAGTCGTGTCCGATCCATCGCAACCCCATGGACAACGTTCCTCCAGGCCTTCCTGTCCTCTACCATCTTCTGGAGTCCATTTAAACTCATGCCTACTGCTTCAGTGACTCCATCCAGCCACCTCATTCTCTGTCATCCCTTTCTTCTATTGCCCTCAATCTTTCCCAGCATTAGGCTCTTCTCCAGTGAGTCCTTCCTTCTCATTAGGTGGCCAAAGCACTTGAGTTTCAACTTCAGGATCTGGTCTTCTAAACAGCAGTCTAATTAATATAAAATTAACTTAACTTCAATTGCATAAATTTTATTGAAATCATAGATCATCTCATTTAATTTGAATCTAACCACAGAGCACAGGAATCACCATTCTACTTCTTGCAATTAGTATTGTTATTCAAAGTTACTTGTTTGCTTTAACCATCTGGGCCAGTACAATTTTCCTCAATTCTCTATATGTCTATTCAGAATTAATTTCTATTAATTCCATAGGACCACAAGGTATCTTTTGAATAGATCTACCCCAGCTGCAGTCTGAATATTTGTTTTATTTCCTTCTTTAGGTCACGTTCATGCAGATTCAGGGCTGCATATATCTAATTTAACTGATTTCAACATTTACAGTTATTGATGTATGACATGTATTGGATGGTTTTGTTCAAAAATAATTCAGATATTTTCATATATTGTTTTAGGTAAAGATCACTTAAACTGAGTTCAGCTCCTAATGATTTCATGGAGACGATAAATTTTATTGGTAACAGTAAGGAAAATACTATGACATTGTTTTCTTTATTTTTCTAACTTGAACCCTGGGTTTCCCTGTCAATCTCCCATCCAGATATTATCCAAAGCATTTCTGATTAGATACAACAAGGTGGGACTGATGCTGTTACTCTTGGAAACTCTGTGGACTTTATTCTATACCAGGATTTATTTGGGCTCCTGTTTTTAGTTTAAGCAAGATTGGGAAAAATATTGTTTTAAAAGGTTGGATCGATCTAAATGACTGGAAATAAGTCCATTTATGTTTATTGATGACAATATTAATAATATGGACAAAAAAATACATGCAGTAAACTGTACCTGGTCCTCGTCACATTCAAGAGGAGTATCCTTGTGTATGGTCATCTGATACTTGGCAAATAAAGTGGCAGACTGAGTAAAAGATGAACTGAACTGTGGGTCCTCAAAAGAAACTGGTACTAACCTCACCTTCAGAGCAATGGAAAGTACAACAGTTTATTTAAAGTTGTCCTTACACTCCTGAAGGGTAGGCCAGGCTATCATCTCCTCAGATCCATTTCAAAGCCTCTACCACGGAGACCTACAAGGAACCCTCAATGACCACAAATCCCCCTCCCATTTTACATGCTAACTTGTTTCTGCCATGTTAATACAGTCTATGCCTAGACTCCATAGAACAGGCAGCATACAAATATCTCTATAAATGTAAATAAATACTACGCAGAAATAATAAAATACAATTTGTACACAGATGAAATTGTAAAGTTTTGTGACAGTTAACTTTTATACTTCAGTTTTCAAGTTGTGATGTGAATTCACTGAGATCAGTATTCTCTACCTGTCAATGAGTGATAAATATGTTCTAAGGAATATCCCGGTTCACACACGGAACAACATCTAACACGTGAATTGATTCTGCCTTTAAGGACTCTGCTACTATTGAGCTACTGAAATTATCTGAAATTTTCCAACAATCAAAGCTGCTATCATAAATTTTTCTCAAAAAAAATTTTCTTTTTCCAAAAGAAAATGAATAATTTTAAATGAGAGCAAAAGACACAATCATCTCTTTCTCTTATTTTATAGAGCTGTACAGTAAGAACAAGCTATAAGCAAAAATATGGAACGTAGCTGGGGCAGCAACCCAAATGTTAATTGTCAGAGTCAATTTCTAGTAATTTCTGAACCTCTGCCATTATTCCATTCATGTGCCAAAATAAGAGCTGATAATGAATGCTCTTAATGCCAAAGGAGTTATCTATAATCTGTGACACATCTTTAGTAACCAGTCATTCTAGCAGACCCTCGCCTATCACACAATTAACACAATACCAATCATTACCTTAAAAGGGCTTTAATTCAACTAACCTTAAAAAGCACTAACATTTTCTCAAATAATTTTCGCATGCTATAAAATGTTTACCAGGTCACTTTTTAAAAGTTTTTTTCTGTACTGAATCTACATATTCTGTCACATGAGAGAGACAGCATAATGTAGGATGAAAATGGGCTGACAACAGAAAAGTGATGAAAAGAAGAAATAGTTAAAGAATGAAAGAAAGCACAATAATAAACTGCATTATGGACAAAACAGCATCATTTACCACCAGCAGGATTCTTAAGAAAAAATATAGGTAGTCCTCAATTTATGACAATAGTAGCAGAATTTCCATTGCTAACCAAGGGGGTTGTTAAGTGAGTCCCACTTGATTTTACAACCTTTTTGTCATGCTAGTAAAACAAATCACTGCAGTTGCCAACATCCAAATTTTGATCATGTGACTGTGGCTATGTTACATAAGTGCAAGGAAAGGTCTATAAGTCACTTTTTCAGTTCCTTTGTTAACTTTGAAAGGTCACTAAAGGAATGGTTATAAGTCAGGGACTACAGGTACTGAATACTAACTATAGGTTCTATTCTTTGCCTGCCTTAATCTGTGACTCTTATGAAACATTCATAGCACCCATGAAGAACTAACAAAGCAGCATTTGAATGAAAAATCCTAGTAGGCAATCAGAAAAATCAAGGGTGCACCAACTGTACCCTTTTCTAGACGAGAAGGCTCTCCCAATAATCACTCACATCTTAGTCTCCTATCAAATGGACTACTCCAGTGTGCTCTACATAAGGCTGCCCTTATATAATACCTAGAAGCTTCAGTTGGTACATAATGCAGCAGTGTGGACAGTTATAGATGCTTCTCCATAAGTTACATTATTTCCAGTATCTTTCTGAGTCAAATTCAACATCCTGGTGGTTATCTACAAAATCCTCCATGACATGGGAACAGGTTATATGTAGGATTTTCTCTCCTCAAACATGACTACCCGTTCCATCAAATCTGACCGAAGAGATATACTATGAAAGAGAGCTACCTGGCAGGATCCAGGAAGAAAGCCTTTCCTTTCAACAGCACCTGCCCTGGAGATCAGATTGTCCCCGACTCGCTTACTCTTTCACAAGACATGGGCTTGAACTTGGGGTCGAAGTTTGCTGGAACCTGTGAATTACTTTTATTGAAATATCTGCACTGGTAGTCCTCAACTTACAACCGCAATTGAGCCCAAAATGTCTGTTGTTAAGTGAGACATTTGTTATATGAGTTTTGCCCCATTTTACGACCTTTTCTTGACATAGTTGTTAAGCGAATCACTCCAATTGTTAAGGTAGTAACACGGTTGTTAAGTGAATCTGGCTTCTCCATTGATTTTGATTGTCAAAAGGGGATCACATGACCTTGGGATACAGCAACGGTCACAAGTATGACCATTGCCAAGCATCTGAATTTTGATCACACGATCATGGGGATGCTACAAAGGTTCTAAGTGTGAAAAATGGTCATATGTCACTTTATTCAGTGTCGTTGTAACTTTGAACAGTCATTAAATGAACTGTTCTAAGTCTAGGACTACCTGTATTGTATTTATATTGGTGGTTGGGTACGTTGCTGTTTTTAATCACAGCTGCCGACTGTCTATTTATTTTGCATTTTTGTGACTTTTTTTTTTTGCTATTTTTCGAACTGTTGTTAACCACTCAGGGCCAGTTCTTTGAGATGGCAAAAGGGAGGGAGGGAGGGAGGGAGGGAGGGAGGGAGGGAGGGAGGGAAGAAAGAAAGAAAGAAAGAAAGAAAGAAAGAAAGAAAGAAAGAAAGAAAGAAAGAAAGAAAGAAAGAAAGAAAGAAAGAAAGAACAATAGGATACATTCGTCTGGAAAATATTTCAGATATTCCTTCCCTGCTTTGTCTAATGCTTTTACTGTGAAATATACTTTATGAACAGGACCTTCATCACAAGTTCAATCCAAGGAAACTTTCCAATGGTAGCACTCTGCATTCGTATTAATATTATTTGAATATAATTCCAGTTCACAGTAGCGACATAAATACTGTCTAGAAAATCTTAGATGCCCTGTTTAGAAAATTTACAGTGTACTACACTTGAGTTCCTCTTTAGACAGCATTACTAACATTTATGACAAATTAATTGCTTCTCTTTTTCCTTCTAAATGTATTTTGTGGCACTCATGGGTTTGAAAGGCTGCTTGTGTTTTCTGGATATTCAATTTAGTATAACTGAGATAATTTTCATAATTTTTATGATTAAGATACATAAAAAAATAGCTTTTGGTTTTCACAGTAGACTAAAACAGTATGCTGCCTGACCTGACTGATGGTTGGTTTACCAGGAGGGTCCTTGTGAATAATCATCTGGTAACGTTTATAAACCTGGTAAGACTCCTGAAATGTGGCTTTGAACTGGGAACTTTGTGGAGATGATCGCACCAGCCTCACCTTCCAAAGAATTAAAAACAGTTGTTGCAATAATATACATCATGGATCTAAATGTTTGAAAGCAATATAGATAACATTTAAACAGTTATTCTTGTTCATATTTTAACCCAACATTGTATATATATTTTTCATAAACAGAACATTTAGCTTTATTTTGTGTCACTATTCAAAGCTCAAGTTCCAACCACACTGCCCTTCATTTAAATGTTTTCAAAAGATTGTAGACAAAATCTGATCTGAAGCAGTCATGCGATGTTCAAATGTAAAGTAAATGTAAATGTAACATATATGTTCATGCACACATACCACACACACAATCGTATTAGCATTAGTTTGGACTTTGGTAGTCAAATAACATTTACATGCTATTTTGAAACACAACTTTTTTATAGGTTTTCTTAAATCTAATTGTATTTTAGATTTATGATGATTATTTTAAGGATACCTACTAAAGTTTGAATGTACTAAAATACAATATTGGTGAATTCCTTAACACGTTTAATGTGAAACCTCACAAACTTAAGTGGTGAGCAAAATACATTTGTTTAGGCTTGCATTAGCTAATTCATGTGCATAAGTTTATATTATCCTAGAATATGGATCTTCAAACTTGGCCCTTTTATGACTTGTGGACCAACTCCCAGAATTCCTCAGCCAGGCATATTGGCTGAAGAATTCTGGGAGTTGAAGTCCACAAGTCATAAAAGGGCCAAGTTTGAAGACTATTGTCCTAGAAGCACAAAAAACCTCATGTTTGGAATCAGTTGTTTCTACAATATTGTTTTTAAAAATTTTAAATATTCTTTTAAAAATTTAACCAATGTGCCCTTTGGATTATCTTCGCTCTATCAAAAGCAATGTTTTGATACTGGAAAACATGGCATTGGCTATGGACAATGAAGATTCAAAAGATCAAGCAAACATGTTGTTGTTGTCATGTGCTACACTGAACAGTGAGTCCCAATGTCCTGGCAGATAGAAATCAATACAGCAAGTGACACAGAGGTCACATTAATGCTTGGCAGCAATCAAGAAACTCAGGTTAAGCATCTTTTTGGTTCAGAGACAGCATAAACAATAACAAGACTAGGTGAAATCCAGGAAGCAGCACATAGTAATGGAATTGTGTCAGAAAATAATGTGGCAAGAAATAAGTTCCTGGAAGGAATAGAAGACTAGAAATGGAATAAAGGATAATCAACATGGTAAACATGATGCCATGAGTTTTTGTAGAGTTTTATGTGATTTAATTTCTGGTTTGAGGGGATTAGTTGGTTTTAATGTTTTTTATGCCTCCCAGGGTTGCTGTCACAACATGGGTGGCTATATATCTTCTTTTTTAAAAAAAAACATTAAATTGATACTGAAAGTTAACAAGACACTCTTTTAAACTATGTTCTTTGAACATTTACTACTTTGGCATAACTGCTAAGAAAACTTCATTTAAAATAGTTCTTTAAGTAAAGCATATTTAACATTAACAAATGCCTGCCATGTTAGTAAAAATGGAAATTTTCCATTATTAAAGGTACTGATCACCTCTTTTCTTTACAATTTTCTTTCTTTACAATTAGATGTTCTCTTCTTATCAAGTTTACAAATATTTATGTTTGGGTAAAATCACCAATTTGAGTAGCAAAGTCTTTCTCCCACAAGCATTATTTTTCTGATATTCAAAGAAATAACAAAAAACTGCCATCAAAACACCTTCCTCCTAGTTATAACTTGGGACATCACCCAAAATTAATTAAATCAATAGTATGATTAACAATTCTCCAAAAGTAGTGGATACAGTATATAATACACAGAATTTTACACATCTAGTTAAGCTAGGACATTATCACCTAAAAATTGCCTACATTCATAGACAAATGTTTCATTCCAGGCTTCACCAAATGGTTGAAAATATACTTTTTATAATTTTGTTCCAAGGATGGTACATTTTAGGTTCTTATTAAAGTTATAGGTATCAATATCTTTCTTCTGTAGCATTTCATTCATTTAGATGGAACCACAGCACCCCCTTGTGTTTCTGCAAAGAACATGAAACTTTTCAAGTACAGGTAGTCCTTGACTTATAATTCGCTTAGTGATCTTTAGAACTTACAAAGATACTGAAAAAAGTGACTTATGATCCTTTTTCACACTTACAACCATTCAGCATGCCCATAGTCATGTGATCAAAATTCAGATGCTTGGCAACTGACTCATATTTACGACAGTTGCAGTGTCCCTCTTTGTGACCTTCTGATAGGCAAAGCCAATGGGGAAGCCAGATTCACTTAACAACCATGTTACTACAGTAGTGGCCAAAATTGTGGAAACCTTTCGGGAAAAGTGTATTTTTGAGGTTTGATGGCTAATAACACCATTTTTTTTGGAGTAGTACCATAAAATTATGTATCAATGGAAAGATAATTTAATCAAGAATGTAATGCAACAAAGTTTGTTCAATTATCTGTATTGTATTCTATGAAAGGTTATAGCCAAATAACCAGAAAAAGGAAGCACAATTTGCTTAGGTTGGTATCAGGTAGCTTTCCTTCATCTAATTGTAGCCAATGAGCATGAGTGTTTAGAGAGCCAATCAGATCACAGTAGGATTCAGTTATTGTTGTCATAAATTGAAGCTGAGAGGAGGACATTTGTCAGTGTATTATGTGATCGCTATCAAATTGGTTGGGATTTTTTGTGTTCTTTCATTTAGTGAGCTTGTAAAACGTAATAAAATTAAAGTAATGGTGCAAAGAGTTGACTGGTTTCCTAGAAAGTGATGTAAAATAGTATTATTAAGTGAACAAGACTACAGTTATAAAGAAATTAGAAGAAAAATTGGTGGAAACGTAATCAAAGATGGCATTTCTACTGTACACTTTTCCCAAAAGGTTTCCACAATTTTGGTCACTACTGTAACTTAACAACTCTGCAGTGATTCACTTAATTGTGGCAGAAAAGGTTGTAAAATAGGGCAAAACTCACTTAACAACCATCTTGCTTAGCAAAGAAATTTGGGACTCACTTGTGGTTGTAAGTTGAGGACTACCTGTACAAGTTAACACTATTTATGTTTTTCTAATTCAAAACTTTGCAGTGTTCCCTGCTTTTGTATTTCAAACAACTTTCCTATTTTGCTGACTGTATTGCTTAGCATTAGCAAACAATGTAAAAATACTTTGCCATAAGCAATAGAAATATCTTAATACCTCTATCTGGTGCAGAGCTTCGGAAGGTAAGCTGGCAAAAATGAAGTCTTCGATTGATTTTGGTTGGTTGGTTTTAGGGCGGCAGTTCTGACTGGTGAAACTCTGAGACCCTGATTCAAGTGAAACTGGCCACATCTGGCACTGCAGGTTTTTTTTCTGCAATTTTTGTTCCTTCCGTATGACTTTTGCTTTACGACATGGCGGTTTGCTCAAGTCAGCTCCTCTGCCTAGAATGCCAACATATTATTCAATGGGAAAAGCATATATTGAAGGAAGTCACGCTCATTTATTTTTATTTTTATTTTACTTTTAATATGACTGTCTACAAAGAAAGCACTTCTTTAAAAAAAGTTAGGCATTCGGTAATACTTTGATTGTTGCGATACCACTAACCATGGAAATGTTAAGGTTCTAGTATCCTCTTATTTATTATTATATTTGCAAGCTACTGTACGCAATCTAACTCTAAAATGGACTATATAATGATTATGACTTTGATACAACAGAAAGCTTGCCTTCCATCCAGAAAAAAGTATCTTGTGATCAAGATTATATTGCAGCCTTGATAGAGGATAAGAATTTTTTTTCTGCTCTAAGTTATTTCATTAAACGGTCAGGTTTATATCCAAAAATTCATATACAAGATCAACTATATAACTGTTGAATAACAAAATCCATATTCCTAAAAAAGGGGGGATCGAAAGAAGCAACACCACAGCCATCAGAAGAACTAAAAAAAAGGTATCAGTGTTATTCTGTGCTAGTTGGGGGAGGGAAATGGGCACATCTGGGGCATATTTTAGCAGGCGCAAAAATTATTTGGCAAATGAAAACTTTCCTCCTTTTTCAGGTATAGCGATTCTCAATTTTGGCCTTGAAAGATGTGCAGACTTCAAGTCTCAGAATTTCCCACCAGCTCTGGAGTTGAAGTCTGCATATCTTTAAGCTGCTGCGTTGAGAAACACTGCTCTGGCAGAATGCCTGCTGAATACAAGTAAAAAACACAAAGGTTATTTGTTGAACCCAGACAAAGATGCTAATTTATGTATCCAATATAATGAAATAAGTCTGAGAACCGTGAACTAACAAACTTACAAGTACCTTACCTGAGGGAGTTAATGAAATGGTGAAGATAGCCAAGCTATACTGCAGGGGTTCTCAACCTTGGCAACTTTAAGACTTGTGGACTTCAACTCCCAGAATTCCTCAGCCAGCTTTGCTGGCTGAGGAATTCTGGGAGTTGAAGTCCACAAGTCTTAAAGTTGCCAAGGTTGAGAACCCCTGCTATACTGTAACTTTTCTTTTTTTTACCTTTATCTTTAGCAAGTTTCTTGATAAATAAAAGAGGCATAACACATTTAATGTTAGAACTTAGTTAAGCAGAGCTTAAGTTAGTTTAAACAGCTACAATTAATTCTAATATTTTTTTTCTCTAGCAAAAAGAAGAAAAAAAATTAATAAAAGGATGAAATACATTTTCTTATGTTTTGCTGAGAGACAGCTACAATAAATTCTGTTCTAACTAACTTAGTTAATACCGGGTAAAGACTCACGTAAAATAACAATACCAATATGTCCTTTTGGGAAAAGAGGATTTTCTAAGCCCATCCTTTTAGACAACATTGGAAAAAAAAAACGTTCAAATGATAGGGTTCATCATGCAATTATTAGCCTCTGTTTTACTCACTGTCTTGGAAGAGGTAAAAGACAGCATAAAATAGGCATTACCTGGCTTGGGAGTAATGTCTGCTATCTGTAATGACCTGCTAGAATCGGCATTCAGTTCTGCATTACACAATTCAGAATTTTTTGAGTCCACTTCCTTTACATTTATTTCTTCTGTCATCTCTTCCTCTTCCATGGTGTCAGTATTGAGGGGCTGCAATTCAGATTGGCTTCTGACAGGTGGATTTTTTAAGGGAAAACTACAGCCGTCAGCTTCTTTGTTATGAGACTCCATGGGATCTACTGTAAATAATAATGTAGAAAACACACATACAAAGTAGGGAAATTCAAATTTTACTTTAATAAAAGATTAATATTTCTACTTTAACATGAACAAATTATAATTTTCACTGCAATTTTAGCATACATAAATGATCCCACAATATAATTGAACTTTCAAAATAAATTAATTCAATTTATGTATCGACTGACTCCCAAGATTCTAAGAAAAATACATTACTGTCAAGAGAAATTGTACAATCATTTCACCCGTGCTATGTACATACAGAGTGTATATACAGAATGGATTTAGGTGACACCTCACACATTTTATTAGGAGACTGAACAACAACCTGCTGTAACAAAGGAGCTACCTTTAAAGTGGAATTCTAACAACATATATGACTTCTTAACATGGCAACTACAGTGGGGCAAAAATGTATTTAGTCAGCCACCAATTGTGCAAGTTCTCCCACTTAAAAAGATGAGAGAGGCCTGTAATTGTCATAGGTAGACCTCAACTATGAGAGACAAAATGAGAAAACAAATCCAGACAATCACATTGTCTGATTTGGAAAGAATTTATTTGCAAATTATGGTGGAAAATAAGTATTTGGTCACCTACAAACAAGCAAGATTTCTGGCTCTCACAGACCTGTAACATCTTCTTTAAGAGGCTCCTCTGTCCTCCACTCATTACCTGTATTAATGGCACCTGTTTGAACTTGTTATCACTATAAAAGAAACCTGTCCACAACTTCAAACAGTCACACTCCAAACTCCACTATGGTGAAGACCAAAGAGCTGTCGAAGGACACCAGAAACAAAATTGTAGACCTGCACCAGGCTGGGAAGACTGAATCTGCAATAGACAAGCAGCTTGGTGTGAAGAAATCAACTGTGGGAGCAATAATTAGAAAATGGAAGACATACAAGACCACTGATAATCTCCCTCGATCTGAGGCTCCACGCAAGATCTCACCCCATGGGGTCAACATGATCACAAGAACGGTGAGCAAAAATCCCAGAACCACATGGGGGGACCTAGTGAATGACCTGCAGAGAGCTGGGACCAACGTAACAAAGGCAACCATCAGTAACACACTACGCCACCAGGAACTCAGATCCTGCAGTGCCAGTACAGCAGACGTGACCCCCTGCTTAAGCCAGTACATGTCCGGGCCCGTCTGAAGTTTGCTAGAGAGCATTTGGATGATCCAGAAGAGGATTGGGAGAATGTCCTATGGTCAGATGAAACCAAAGTAGAACTGTTTGGTAGAAACACAACTCATTGTGTTTGGAGGAGAGAGAATGCGGAGTTGCATCCAAAGAACACATACCTACTGTGAAGCATGGGGGTGGTAACATCATGCTTTGGGGCTGTTTCTCTGCAAAGGGACCAGGACAACTGATCCGTGTACAGGAAAGAATGAATGGGGCCATGTATCGTGAGCTTGTGAGTGCAAATCTCCTTCCATCAGCAAGGGCATTGAAGATGAAACGTGGCTGGGTCTTTCAGCATGACAATGATCCCAAACACACCACCCGGGCAACGAAGGAGTGGCTTCGTAAGAAGCATTTCAAGGTCCTGGAGTGGCCTAGCCAATCTCCAGATCTCAACCCCATAGAAAACTTTTGGAGGGAGTTGAAAGTCCGTGTTGCCCAGCGACAGCCCCAAAACATCACTGCTCTAGAGGAGATCTGCATGGAGGAATGGGCCAACATACCAGCAACAGTGTGTGCCAACCTTGTGAAGACTTACAGAAAATGTTTGACCTCTGTCATTGCCAACAAAGGATATATAACAAAGTATTGAGATGAACTTTTGATATTGACCAAATACTTATTTTCCACCATAATTTGCAAATAAATTCTTTCCAAATCAGACAATGTGATTGTCTGGATTTGTTTTCTCATTTTGTCTCTCATAGTTGAGGTCTACCTATGATGACAATTATAGGCCTCTCTCATTTTTTTAAGTGGGAGAACTTGCACAATTGGTGGCTGACTAAATACTTTTTTGCCCCACTGTATCTGAATACAGCAACAGAGAAAGCAAAGAAGACTCAAATTTTCTGGAAAAAAAAAAAAAAACACCAGGAAGCAATAACAGTTCTTTTTAAGTCCCAATTGGGAAAATAAGCTGATATCTTAACTTCTACATTATGAAATATTTTCTGTTATGAAGATAAAAAAATAGTTGGCAAGAAATACAGGTAGTCCTCAACTTACAAGAGTCCGTTTAGTTCGACTGTTCAAAGTTACAATGGCACTGAAAAACGGGACTTATGACCGTTTTTCACAGTTATGACCTCTGCAGCATCCCCAAGATCATGTGATCAAAATTCAGACACTTGGCCACCGGTTCATATTTATAACCATTGCTGTGTCCCAAGGTCATGTGACCATCTTCTGTGACCTTCTGACAAGCAAAGTAAGTGGGGAGCATAGTTTCACTTAACAACCGGGTTACCAACTTAACAACTGCAGTGATTCATTTAACAATGGTGGCAATGATGAGAAATTAAACATAAAAATTATTTTAACAATGTGAAAAAAGATTTGACTCATAATCTATTAAAATAATATACAATAATACTGGTTTCTAACATCCCCTAACTCTAACCTCAACTAATCTACAGTTTATAAATCTTTATAATTTCTAATTTCAGTTCTTTAGGCAGTTCTTTTTTCTCTTTAAAAACTATACTTACAAATACTTCATATATTACACTTTGCTGTGTAATATATAAATATTTGGAAGCCATTCTTGCTTAAACTTTGTTAAGCTTCTGTTGCTAATATATCCTGTTAATTTTGACACTGCAGCATATTCTCCAAGTTTAAATTCCCAATCACTGGTAACATATCTCTTTGCAAATGATGTGCTAAATTTATTTTTGCAGCCTTGAATATGTATTTTAATACAATGTGATCTTTTAATTAATATGTTTTGGGAATTATGTCCAGTCAAAGCAATTATAATTTGACTTCTAAAATGTTTTGAATAATGTTATGTATTCTGTTCCAATATTTTAAGGAGTATTTTGTTACACGTCTACCACAGAGTTCCTCAATCTTTCGGGGTTAGAGGCCCAGAGTGAAGGGGAAGGGAGAAAGAAGGGATGGGGTTTTTTTTGGGGGGGGGGGTAAATGCATGTGTGCGCACGAACACCCATTACTCACATGAGTGGGGCTGGGAGCACTCGCAATGCTTGCATGAGTGGGGCTGTAAATGATGACACTCATGTGCACGGACACACACACACACCAGCCAGCCCCTCATACAGCCTGGTGGCCAATAGTGGGCCACGGTCCATAGGTTGGGGATCCCTGGTCTACCACACATGATAAAATGTTCCTTCTCTCTCTCAAGGCATTTTCAGCATTATATGATTTGTCTATTTTGGCAATTATTGATGGAATTGTATACCAAAGATAAATGAAGAACAATTTCATTAAAACTGGGAATATACCACGATTGTTATACACACAAATTGCTGGAAGAATAAAAACTGACCCCAAAAGATAGGGATCTTCTAAAAAAAAATAGAATTTAAAATGCTCATACAAAATCAATTCCACTTACTAAAGAGTGTATATTTAGAACACACACTGCAAGTATCAAAATAGTGGATCATTTCTGCCTTAGCATCAACCATGAGCAGTAAAGGAACAAACAGTCAAGAAATATGCCAGAGATTAATACTTGATAGAAAGCCATGAATGCCTTAGATAAGGCTGCATAGAGTAGCCCCATGGTGAGATAGGCTGCAAAAAAATTAATAAATAAAATAATAACAGAAGATGTTCAACAGATTAGGGATAAATCATCGTGGAGAAAATTTATCTATGTGGTTGCTAGGACTTGAAAATGACTTAATGGGACATAATAACAGTTACTCAGATATGGCAGAGACAGAACACATAAAAACTGCAAATGGACGAAAATTTTAAAGAAACAAGTCACAACGAGAATTATGAAAAAAATCTATAAAATGTTCCCCAAATTCTAACTTGAAACTGATACAGAAATATTGTACAGTATTTATATTATTGAGTCAATTAAAACTACCTGCTTTTTCAAAAAATTCCAGAATACAGCAACAAATAACACTTAAAGGACACTAAAAATTACCTTCAACATCTGCTTTAGAATGTTCTCCTTTTATTAAAAATTTTAACATCTTCTTCAAAACTTTTTTCTGTGATTTGGAAGGTTGGAAGTGTAATACTTGGCATCTCAAAGGAAAAAAAGAATAAGTGCAATCAAGGTATGCCCTAAGTAATATAATAATTAAGCACACTTATGTAGATAAAGCTATGTAGATATAGTTATTAGTAATATATGTCATATGATTAGTGTCAAAACTTGTGATTATTCTTTGCATAAATTGGAATTACGAATCCTGTTTAAACAACTGCATTTTTTCTGGAATTAAAATCCAGTGAAGTATGCAGTCTCTCAATATGTTTTTTTAATGTACAATATTATCAATATTTACACAGCATTTTGACAAAAGGCTACTTAAGCACGTTATTAACACTGTATACACAGAATAATCTGATGTAAATGTCTCTATCTGTTCTCTGTGGATAGAAAGAAACTACAAGCAGGAGTAAATGAACTGGTAAATGAGGTACAAAATATTCCAATCTTGTCTTAGGTTTAGTATAGAAATCATGCATCCTTCAGGATGATGGATAACCCTCCTCTGCTCTCACCATCACAATGCAATTAACTGTTGAAGGGGGGCAAAGTGCAGCATCTTCCCGAAGACGAGCAAAATGTAAGAAAATTATTAATATGAAAAAAATAACAAGGCTGGAAAAGAGAGTTCCATCAAGGGGTCAAAAATGCTATTTTTCTGAAACATCTTCCATATATCTAGACAAGCTCCCTCAATGTGGCCCCAGTGGAATGTAGTAAAGATCATGCTGTTCCAGAGAGCCTTGGGGACAGATTGAGCACCATCTGAAGTCAGTTTTTATTTCTAATTTTTTAAATTAGCTACTTAGTATGGTAGTTGATTTATTGTAGTTTGTTTTGCATTGGTTTTACTCATTTAATTTTATGTAAGTCTTAAAATTCTGAGGCAAGTAAGTTTGATAAATAATTAAATATTTTTTTCTTGACTAGCTAGGTCAACAGTATGTTTGCCTTTATAAAGAGTTTAATGCAAACTTTCATCGTATAGCAAGTCTTTGATAACCATCCCATAGCCTAACACGGCACATGTGCTCTAACATGAAATCTGTGGAATCCCAATTTTAAATAAAATTTATTATTAATAATTAAAACAAATATAATCTCAAAACATCACCAAATCTAACAATATTTCAGTTAGTCCTCTTTGAAATCTTGCAGATATTTAGTTAAGAATACAAAACTCTCACAGGTATTTTGAATGAAAATATTAAGATCTTGCAAGATTTGAGGCTTCTTAAAGCAGTTTCATGTAACGATTACTTACAACATTCTGTGGGAATTATTAATTAGAAACCATTCTGCTATATAATTGCTGACTCATTTAGAAGGCAAATTAGGCTGGGACTTGCTAAACACGTAATGCTAAATGGACATTTGAATCTATCAATTGCACAACACAGATAGTGAATTAGAAAAAATATTAAGTATTGTGCATGTCTTACCTTATTGTATATTGAGGACAACATGTCCGATTCATAGTGGGTTTATAAACATACTTTCCACTCCTGTGAATTTAAAAGATGAACATATTTTAATGAATTCTTACAGTGTTCTTAAGTTAAAATATATACTTAATAAATATTAATTAAATATATACATCATACTTAGAGATGAAAAAGTTTTATATAAACGATCACAATTATATAATTAATTATACAAGAAATGTATAAGCTGTACAGAAGCCATTCAAATCTTTCATGCATGAATATACATCACATAAATCTTTTGAGCTTTATAATGTTAAGCAATCTCATCATCCCTTTGATGAAATGATGCTGGCAAAAACAATGTCTTCATCTTTATTTCCTGATATTTTTACAATATTATAATATTTTGGATGGCTATACAAATATTGGCTAGTTATCCTAGACCCGAGCAATTTAGCTCTTCTAACTCTAATGGACATTTTCCAAACTACAGATATCTTTCAGTTACGACCCCAATTGAGCCCAAAATGTATGTTGCCAAGTGAAACATTTGTTAAGTGAATTTTGCCCCATTTTATGAAGTTTCCTGCCATAGTTGTTAAGTGAACCACTGCATTTGTTTAGTTAGTAATGTGTTTTTTAAGTGAATCTGGATTCTTCATTGACTTTGCTTGTCACAAGGTCACAAAAGCTTGTTCATAACCCCAGGATACTGCAACTGTCATTAATATGAACCAGTTGCCAAGCGTCTGAATTTTGATCATGTGACCATAGGGATGCAGCAACAGTCGTAAGATGAAAAATGATCATAAATCACTTTTTTCAGTGCCACTGTAACTTTGAACGGTCACTAAATGAACTGTTGTAAGTCAAGGACTACCTATTTATATAGAAAAAGATGTGGATGACAAATTCAGCATATCAAATTCTATCTCCCTTTTACTTAAATTTCTTGGAATTTAAGATTTTCTCTCTAATGAAGCAATAAATATATGATACAGAGAGATAAACTTCATAATCTAGATAGGATTCCATTCCAAACTTCCATTCCCTGATAATCAAAGATACAAAGTGCCAGTGTATCATATCTTAAAAAGTCCCCAAATTTTATCATTGGTTGACTTATATCACAACATTCCTGCCGTGGCTAAAAGGAATCTACAAGTATTCTCTTCTCCAATTTTAACTCAGCCACAACCTTGTAAGTTCTTCAGCTCAGAGAGAATGTCCATTTTCCATAGCTGAGGTAGACTTGAACCTGGATCCCCCAGTTGTGGTTAAATATTTAACCAGCAATTAAGAAGATCCGGTATTTGGAATACCCATGCCTGTGGAGCTGGGGCAGGTTGATCTATCAAGCATTCCCTTTTCCAATATTCATTCTGTTAGAACACACTACAAATAAGAAGCAGTAGATTACATGTGGATCTATCCAGAGTGCTAATTGTTTATATTACTGTTAATACTTAAAATACATGCTGGTATAACTTCTTACTCTCTATTTTACACTGCACTTCTAAAATTCTTGTAATTACGTGTATAATATTTGGAAAATTACTTCATGTAGCAAGATGGCAATTGGTATCAAGTAATGTCTAAATATATGGAGGTACTTAGTGATTTTATATATTTTATAGGATATAAATAGTATTTGATTGGTTATGGTCCCATGTTATTTATACTAGTCTGGGACCAAAATAAGGATCAGAACAGGAATATTCAATTAATCACTTACCTTCGCCATCCTCGATCTATAAGATCCTGATAGTCTTGAACAGTCAGTGAATGAGCCCACATGCCTGGTACAAATATTCATATAGAAAATATTCATACAAAATATAGAAAGAATTTTACTTTGAATCATGAAAAAATCTGCCCCTGTGGAAACCTCCCCATATACATGTCTTAATAACCCAATGTTTAAAAGTATGATTGAAACTTTTCAAAATTATAAGTAAAATACATAATTAACATTAAAGGAATGTGTCCTTATATTCTGCTACAAGCATGTATGGCTTCCTCATCACATTGTACTTATTTTCATTCATTAGATTACTTATTGTTATGTCTGGCTTCATATAATACATCAGATAAATATGTTCTGTGATTTCAGCCAATGAATTTATAATTCAATGTGTTAGATGACCCAGGCAATTGGGTCTATTAAATATGCCATGGATTTTGGTGTGCTGCAAAAATACAGCTCTCAAATAAGCCTTCGTGAATCTGAGCACTTTCCAGTTATGACAGTTTTAACTCCCAGAATTTGCCAACCAGCATGAACATTGCTACAAAATCTGGGTTAATGCTCTTATTTCTGAAGAGTACTTATGTAGCAGAAGATGCTGTCAGTGGATCTAACAATGCAGTTCAGCTCAATACCCCATCTACTTCAACAGTATTTCCCACAAGACCTCCTTTGACTCCTTTAAATTTGATTTAAAACAATTATATTATTGTAAATATCTGTCACTGGTTTATTTATTCTGTTATCCTCTATTCTACTGTTACCTTGTTTCCATACAACAAATTCATACAACTCTATTTCTTTCTTTAAAATCTATTATTCTCTTTAATATTGGGGGTTGCACAAAACAATGAAACACAAAAGTACAATAAACACAATCTGAGTGCATTTGGTGATTGGCTAGTTTATAGTTCCATGGATGGTGGGAATGCTACACATTTCTATTAATTTCCACTGGTTTCTTGCCCATCTCTCTGTTATGCATCTTTATATTAATAATAATAACAACAAATATTTCATAAACATACCCAACCCATTCTATATCTGTACTCATGTCCTGAGAAAATGTGCTGGGGTTTACAAAGACTTATGGGTTTTTATAAAATGTGCTTTTAGACTCTGAGTATAGGTAGTCCTCCAATTACAACAGTTCATTCAGTGACAATTCAAAGTTATAACAGACACTGAAGTGACTTATGACTGTTTCTCTAACTTACGACTATTGCAGCATCCCCATGGTCACATGATCAAAATTCAGACGCTTGGCAACTGAGTCATTTGTGACAAGCAAAGTCAATGGGGAAGCTAGTTTCACTTAACAACTGCAGTGATTCACTTAACAGTTATGACCAGAAAGATCGTAAAAATAGGGTATAACTCACTTAACAATAGAAACTTTGGGCTTAATTATGGTTGCAAGTTGAGGACCAGCTGTATTGGCTCCCACCCCTGTGATTCTTATTATGCAAGGCAGTTTCTTCCAATTCAGGGACAGGAATGTCCTTTGGTAGCCAAGGGCTACACTGAGAGGAACCGGGCACAAAATTAAGACAGAAAAGCATCAGATAACTTGTACCTCGTGCCCTGAAAACCGACACCGTGGTCCTTGTCAAAAGCAAACAGGTGCTTCGTTTCCCTCGCTGTTTTTCATTCTCACTCTGATAACTTAAATTGCAGCCAAGGGCTCGAACTAGAGATGGGCCAGGCAGGGCCCGGCACCTTTTGAGAATTGTGACATCGCTCCGTGAACTGTTTTTAAAAGGATAGCTTCGAGAGGCGCCTAGAAACGGGCTATAGGAGGCACCGAGCGCCGACTGCCTTTTGCCCTCGGCTGAAGCCTAACATGGCCTGAACTTGTCCCGCTCCGACTCCTCCACGGCCTACCCTTTAAAAGGAATATCGCAGCCTCAAACGGCAACAAGAGACTCGCCATTGAGGCAAAAGATGGCAAGGCTCGGCTCTCCTCGCCTCTCCGGCGCTGCGTTCTGCTCTGTTCCCGTATCCGATTCGTACCGTGGGAGAAGTTGCCGGTGTCGTTCTTGCAATAGCCGCAGCGGTAGCCACCGTCTCCCCCCAAGTACTCCACGATACTCAAGAATCCTCCTCCCGCCATCTTAGTCACCCGGCCGGCTGCCTCCGCCTTTTGATAACCTCGTGTCCGCCAGCCTAGCCAGGGACCTCTCGAGCGCCCTAAGCAGCGGCGTCTGCGGCCGCCATTTTAACGAAGGGCAGAAGGCGGCTCGATCGAGCGACGTGGAGGGCCCCCACTTGCAAGCCCATCTTCCGGTTGCCAAAGGCAAAGCACGAAGCTTCCATTTGCGGGGCCAAACCTGAAGCTAGAAAGGGGGAAAATTCATTAAAGGCTGGTTTTTATCCCTATGCTTCGGTGTGACAGCCTGCAGAAGATTCGCATCCTTGTTCAAGATAACCAGGCAGGTTTTATTTATTATTTATTAATTTATTAAATTTGTTTGTCGCTCATCTTGCCGCAAGATGAAGCTATAATAAAAGTGTTAGCCTGCAACAGATTGATACAGCTGCCTTACTGGGCTTTGGCTTCAAAAACGTTCTGACAGGCAGAATTCCACAGAAACAAGTGCAGGTTATTTTTAAAAATGTGACGTTCAAATGTGTCTGTCTATCTATTCAGGAGTGTTATATACGTATACATATTAGAAGTTCAGGAACTACTAATTCTTCTACTTCTTCTTTGCAGTGTTTTAGAAATAACGGGGTCCCTCTATTCAAAGGAGCATAAAGTAAAATGTTGCAGGGTTGTGGTACGTCAACTTTTATCTTCAGCTAAGTAAATACAATGAAAGGTAATGTTACTGTTCTACTGGAACCAGGAACAAATTGAGGCCTTTTCTCCTTCGGGTGCCAAGATGCTCTGAAGGGATGCCATTTCTTGTACTTCCTCCAACACCAAAAAAAAAAAAAAAAAAAGTTAGGATATCCTAAAGGCAGAAATTACAAGTGAACATTTGAAAATCCCTGTCCTGTTAGTAAAAGCCTAATTTTAAATCAATAAAGCCAGAGCATATTGCAATAATGTTTGTGCTTTTGTAATGTTAACTTATCTGCCCTTGGATTGGTAGCACATATCTCTAAACTCACTCTTTATTGATAAGGCTGATCGTCTTGTTGGGCATTGGGTGGCTTTTTTAATGAAGCCTTGGAGGAGAAATTTGGCTAACAGATGGGCAATTAATGTACCCTTTTCCATCTTTCTTTCTGGCTACATTTGCTAACCAAGAGACAATTGCTTGGTACTTGCTCAAATAGTCACTGCTGATTGTTACGTAGGAGAGAAGAATGGTCATTTGGAGGTTCTTTTTTGCACCCTTATAAAAATAGATCCATTGTGGAGCTTCTCTCAGCATTAGGAAATAAACAGTCATTGCCTTCCAACTGCCTAATTCTCTGTCTTCAGAGGAAATGCTTTTCCATACTTTCTGTATATTCTCTTCCTGTATTTTCAACAGATTCAGGAAAGTAAATGTGCTTCATTCTCAACCTTCATCCTGCTTCAGCTCACAGTCGAGGATTCATTGCCTTGTTGTACAAGTGCATTTGGGGGCGGGGAGATCATCCAGCACTAAATATATTTCTTAAGATCTTTTCAGGACAATGAATTAACTTTTATGGGACATATGGTGCTGCTGCTGTTTTAAATTTAACAATATTATCAATTTCAGTACAGCAGCAATAAATCACATCAAATGGTACTGTCTGCTGGTTTCCACTAAACTTTTTTTTTCATCCTTTCAGAGCATATCTGTTCATATAAAAACAATGAAGAAACCAGAATACCTTGCATGTACATGTGTCTGGGGTCTTTAACCTGGGAGTTGAACATTTTTCTCAAATGATTTCCCAAATCATTGTTTTCTTGCTATATACATCTATGTTATGTGTGCATAGGGAGATGATTCCTTGTATTTTTTTCTGACTGCATTAATATTCATATAATTTGAACCTGACACTCGGACTCCAATGTGTTGTTAGTTTTTATTATTTACTTCTGAGATATGCTGCAGAAACTGGATATGGCAGGATATGTACATACTCATTTGTCATAGAATGCAATCAGTTATGGGTTTATAGACACAAAGAGAATGAAATATATAGGTAGTCCTTGCTTACCTTTCATTCAGCACTTATTCAGTTATGATGGGACTGAACAAAACGCCTTATGATTAGTCCTCTAGGCTCTGGCCTTTGCCATTGCCTGGGGTCATGTAAACAAAATTCAGTCCTGCCCATGTTTACAACTATCCTCCCACAGTTGACCTTTGTTGTCTTTGCTGAGTTCATCATCCTGGCCACGCAAGGGGAGATGCTGTAGAAATGTCCTATAGACCAGCAGGTAAGAACTATAGGCAGGTGTGTGCTGTACCGCATCCAACTACTGATCAGGGCATCCTTCACGTACTTGCCAAGCCTTCCTTTCACAAAACAACCGAGCTCTGCCAGCACAAAAGGAGCTGGTACAAATGGCAGTCCTGGCTGCGCCAGTTGTGAAAGGAAACCCTGGCCAGCACACAAAAGAAGGACCCAGGTGGTAGTGATAGGCAGTGCAGCCGACGGCCAGGGGGTAGGATAATTGGTGGATCGGCAGGAAGCCAAAAGTGTGGAGATGGAGGGGGAAAATAGGTTGCTGAGAAGAATTGGAGGCAGTCCTTTCCCTTCTTCTAAGAATGGCTTGGATCCAGGTGAGTCCTCGCTTAACAACCATGTGGGATTCATTCAATGATTGTCAGAACTGCCCTCTCTAAGTCGAGCAGTTATGTGACATTTCATTTAACAACCATGTCACTTGGTGCTAAGTGAGGGCTACTTGTACTTCAAAATTACTGGCTTTTTGATTATGTGCTATCAAATTGCTGTTGATTCTTAACAACCACACAGATTTTTGCCTTTAGTTAATCCATTATTTGGTCCTTATTTAATTGTTCTACTTATAAGAGAGAAATACTTTTCTAGGTGTGAAGATTCAGAGTAAGATATTTAAGAGATGTGTTCAATATTTACAAAAGGTGATGGAATATTCTTTGTACTTTGAATTCATATGATGCTGTAATATGTTGTAATAAATATGTTGTAATAGCTATACCACAGGTCGGCAACCTGCGGCTCCGGAGCCGCATGCGGCTCTTTGGGCCTTCCCCTGTGGCTCCCAGCCTCCTCTGCCTTTGCAGAGAGAGACAGAGACAGAGAGAGGCAATTGCACTTCCCTGCTTTTCTCTCTCTCTGTGTGTGTGTCTGTGTGTGTGTGTGTGTATGTGTAAAAGAGTGCACTCACAGTGTTCTCCGAGGAGCTGAAAAGCTTTCTGGGCGGAGCTCCTCCCTTTGCTGCGTCTCTGAAGGAAGCAGGAAGGGCAGGAGAGAGCTAGCTAGCCCAGCTAGGCTGACTCAGGAATTCTGGGAGTTGAAGTCCATGAGTCATAAAAGAGATGACGTTGCCTACCCCGGAGGTTGTTGGACAACAGCTTGAAGCTTGCCAGGTGAGCAGCAGATAGGAGGGGGGGGGGAGAAAGAGAGAGAGAGAAAGAGAGAGGGGGGGGGAGAGAGAGAGTGGGAGAAGAGGAGTGGCAGACCAAGGGCAGATAGAGAGGGAGGGAGAGAGAGACCCTTTTGACGTCTAAAATGAAGATAACACTGCATATATCCTTTTTTTACCTTTGTGTGTATGTAATTTTATTCTCTTAAAGCATTCTCTTGGTGATCATTGTTTTAATAGTATGGGTATTCCCAAGAGTCATATTTTTACTTTTATTTTTAATGTGTATATGTGTGTGTGTGTGTGTGTGTGTGTGCGCGCACACACATATACACATACACACACACACACACACACACACATACACACACCTATAATAAAGGTAAAAAAGGATATATGCAGTGTTATCTTCATTTTAGATATCAAAAGGGTTTTGCGGCTCCCAGTGTTTTGTTTTTGGTGGGAAACGGGTCCAAGTGGCTCTTTGAGTGTTTTGGGTTGCCTACCCCTGAGCTATACTAAAGACTGAGATGGAATTTATATATCACCCAACCCAAATGACCTGGGCACAATACAGATAGCACTCGACTTACAACCAAAGTTACCACAGCCCCCCCCCCCTTACAACCCGATTCAAAATTCTGACTGTCTCCCCCCCCTCCGGTCATTTTGGATTCTTGACAATTGGCCCGCCTTTGCAGCATCCCAGTCATATGATCAGTTTGCAACATTTTTTGCTGTTAACTTGTGTTTACTTCCAGTTTCCAACAAAATAACAGCCATTTGCTTAAAGACCATGCAAAAAAGGTCACAAAATCAGGCACAATCACGTGATGACCTACTTAAGTAGTATAACTTGTGACCATAATTCCTTGCTCCATTAATATGTCGAGGACCACTTGTATTATTACAAATCAGCAGTAAATGAATTTTAGAAGATCTAACTAAGATTTCAAGTCTATTTCTAAGCTATAATCAGGCTTTCTGCCTAAACTCCAACTCTTTGTCTTCCAAAAAAAAGGTTCCCTTCTTGCTGAAAAAAAATCCAGAATTTTATGCTCCACATCTCACCACAATTATGTCCAGAAATGCCCCATTGAAAGTCAGAGAGCATGCCTTGCAAATAATTTAGGATTAAGTCATAGAAGGATTTGAACATCAAAGGGAGCACTTTAAATTGTTTCACAAAGCAATTTGGCAATCCACTGTAAATTGTTTCAGTACAGAAATGATACCGCACCTCTAAGAGGTACCACTTACTACCAATGCTATTCTACTGTAGGCCATTCACAATTTTGAAACATATTTAAGGGATAGTTGTGGTATATTCCAGTAATTTATTCTTCAAGTAATCAGCCATACTATTAAAACTAGGCAGGATAGGTATCCTTTATTGGCCAAACTTGATTCAAGTCCTCACCTGCCATAGACAAAGGGTTGTATAGAACCTGTGTAAGATTTTCATTTAATATTTGCAGTATAACCACATACATTATACACAAGTATAATATTTAACAATTGATCTAATTTTTTCCAAAGATTATAATTGTTTTGTTATGCAAGTTGCTAAAATATAATTTGAAAATATGCACCATACATATCCATATCCTGAAATAAAATATAACGGTAATACATTATACTATAACAAAACAAAAAATCATCCATTAAAAACATAAGGGTAATAATTAACAGTGGGGAAAGACAGTAGAAAATATTGTTTTAAAAAAGATGCCGGAAACACATTAGCATTGGTACATCATTCTATAGATCTATCATTTTATTTATACACCTGATAGATTTTTGTTGCAATGATCTTGAATTTAACATAATTGTCATAGTTCCGATAGATGAAACTCTTCAAAAGAACTTCGAGGCATTGTTTACCTTAAAGAATCTTTTATTCGAGAAACAAAGTATCGGCACTACATAGTTGAAACCAGAAACTAAATTCCCCTCCTCTGGATGCAAAGTAACCAAGTGCAATTCCCTCCTCCAATAAACAATCATAAATCACATTCCCCAATTAGCGGGCTTTCTCCCCAGCTCTCTAGCCCGCCAAAACACTAACAGCTCTGGGCCCAATGTCCTTGGGTTCCCACGATTAAGTTATTATTGTTATGACTAGCTGGACTCTCATCCCTATTCCCCCTCCCAATAATTGTAGTAGGTATACATACATGCATGCTAGGAGGGATCATTCCTATTTTTCCCACAATCCTACATTACTGCCTTATATAGCTGAATAGTTTAGTTTGACAAGACTGCATTCTCTGCACTTATTAATGCAGTCAGGCTACAATTGTCTAAAATCATTTGGATTGAAAAACAAATCTCCTTGATGCATTTATAGTATGTATGATTTGTATGATGCCCATATGCTTATTACTGTTAGAAATCCAGTGACAGAATAATATATGCTAGGGGTGAAAGAACACCATAGAATTTTATAAGTTAACAACTAACCCAGTTCCACATATTTTTTGTATATAATACCTATACTTTGTTATCTCGTGCAACTTTCCAAGAAAATACTTATAAAGAGTAATTTATAAGGTGCAGGGCAGCTTCCCAGAATCTACTAGATTGCATCTTTAGTCCAAAAAGTAGTCTTTTCAAAGCCAAAGCTTCCGTGTTATCTATATTTAATATTTATATTATTTAAAGATTAACACATTTGCATAACTCAAAAATGACTACAGAAACATTTGAAAGTATTAATCTTGAAACATACAACCACTGGAAAAGTGTTTCAAAGTGTTTTAATTACAAATGGATGCTTCTGCCCAAGTTTCAATAATCTATAACACGGAATGACATCCACAATAGAAGCTATTTTGTTTTTATATGCCATTTCACAAAGGCATTCTACTATAAACATTTGAATGCTTGTGTTAAATGCAGAATGACACCAAAATAGTATAATGGAGGAAAGCAAAGTATTTCAATGAGATGAGTACATCCTATGATGTAGACAGCCTAATGTACTTTTCTTCTCGGCCTTGCATTTCCACTCCCCATTTTTCTTCTCTGTACCATCATTCACAAATAATGAGGTTCAAAAGCTAATTTAGCTACGGAACTATAAATAAGCTTTATAAAAGTGCATATTCTCCTAAACTAAAATATAATTAACACATACTGCTGCAACACCAAAGGAACTGGGATAGTACCATTCTACTCCTTTAACATCTAAATGGTTTCAGGCACAACTGTTTGTGACTCTCAGTATGAATCATTAAAGGACCTTTAAAGTTGTCTTTGTCAGGCACATAAAAGAAGGCACATTTTGGGTCACTCCAAAAATACAGAGCAAACACCCTTGGGAGCGGTGGCAAGCCACCGCTCTTTTCCACCTCTGAAGACTGATCAAATGTCTTCTTTTACTGAAAATCATACTTTGTTTTTATTGTTAGCTAACTTCTTTTTGCTTTGTGGAAAGGTGAAATACAAATTGAAATAACATAATGTTGACCAAATGAATTGTAATAAGACAAAGCACATTCAGAACATAAAAGTTACAACAATTTGAGATTAATCTGCTGTTACAGCAAATAAACAATGTACATTATGTTGTATAATACAACATTGTTATTTAGAAAACCTGGAAGCACTCCCCTTATTCAAGCAAATATGCAATACTTAAACAGGAAAGTTTTGCTCGTTTCCATTCTCCTTCCAAGATCAGTCTGGTTTTACAGAACTATGGATACCTGTGTAAAAGAGTGAGATTGAAATCTGCAAAAAATAGATAGAATTCAAATCAGTCCAAACTAGCATTTATTATGCTTGAATATCAACAACAAAAACGATATCAGAGAAATTAAACAAAAAATAGTACCTTACATTCAGATCAGCTTCATCTCATGTCTGTGACTGTGAAGCAGGTGGAATCATTGCCTGTGAAATTTCAAATATGTCCACAATATTCTATGTGAAAATAAAAAATTAATGTCTTTAATTCATAGTATTATAGATAAAAATGTGCATTAATAAACATATCTACCTTTTCAATCAGCATTAGTTAAAATATTAAGCTGTTAAATGTGAAGTTATGTATATTACACATTAACAGAACTTCTGACTAGCATTTATTTTTATCATACTTTTACAATGTAAATTCTGGTAAAGTGCTGCAATTTTTTTTTAAGATGGGAGACTGTACAAAATTCATGAATGAAATACATTACTACTTTAACCAACAGTCAGTCCATCTTATTGTGATACACAAGTTGAATAATATAGATGCGCTAATCCTAGTTGCAGCATTTTAGGCACAGAAACGCAATTCAGAGATATTTAAAATAACTTCAGGAAATAAAATATTTAATTATACCTTCCACTCTTGATAGCTCATTGATATGACTGCTTGCTTTCGTGCGTGAGTATCCTCATAATTTTCTACTCCTTCTGGACGTAAAGGTTCTAATAAAATATTGTATTTTGGGGACACACAGTTATATTTAAAAAACAAAAATACCATTTCACTAAAACAATATAAATTCAAGTATATATCAAATTAAAAGACATAAAGACATTTATTTAAAACAATTCCTAGTATTAAATATTCCAACATTACCTATTACAGGAAGCTTATCTTGATCCAGTTTTATTCTTGCAAGTCCATCCTAGAAAAAAAAAAGTTCAATTTACTTCTAAGATAGCAAACCTTTCAAAAACAAGTTATGAAATCTGAAATACGTTTACCGAGCTGAATTCAAGTGATAAGAATGGTAAACAAATTTAGCTACCTATTATTTGTTTGGTTTTGATTAAGTGGATTGTATGATTACAGCCATTTATAGTATATGAAATAAACCATGATTGTTATGATTTAGTACAAAAAGCAATCCCAGTCATTCAGGAATTAATTTTCCAGTTTTAATCTTTTAAACAGTAGATAGATATAAGACTTAAAACCAACTTATTTCCATTATGAAAAAACAATCAGATTTTTTTTAAAAAAACAAAGCATGATCCATATTTCAAGTGCCTAAATATATTAAATTCTTTATAATTCTCAAGCTTGTTTCAAAATAAATTTATTACAACTGTCAAAAGGACAAAAATCTAGTATATAAAAGGGGGAGGGGGTTAGTAAATTATAAACACACATCAAACTTTGTATTACATAAGTGATGAAATAAGAATTAGTCAATAGCAGCCCTTCAACATGGATGGTTCAGATCCTGTGCTTATATTTGTGACACAATACATTTTGCTTATAATTAAGAGAGCAAATTGTTTCTCCTTACCCTTATTAAGAATGAGACATGAAACATGTTTTCCACAGTTCGTGCAAAAGAATTTGGGTCTGTCACAAACTCAAGGAAAGATATTGGTGTATCAGCTATAATGTAAAAATAACATAGTTTTGATACTGATAAGTTCATTTAGCTATTCAGTCTATTTCTAGTTTACTTTCTATGTTCAATATCATTTAGCTATCATTCATATATGAATGGAAAAAATCCTAAGCCCATATTTAATATTTTTACTATTCAATTTTTTTTTATTTAAAGACATTTAATTATGGTTGGCAGCAGAATGAGAAATGTAAACTAAATTTTCTTAACAAATCTTATATACTGTCTGAATGATTCTTCCTAGAGCGAAGTATTATCATAACATCAGATTGAGAAATATGTGCATATGGAATCAAATTAATATAAGTGAGCATTTCCAGTATATCACCTTAAAAATTAAGCTAACTGCAGAAAAAATACAACTAAATATTTGAAGCACACAATCTCTTTATAACTTCAACTGATCTTTTCTGCTCAAATATTTGTGTTCTTACATAGCATTCTCAATATCATACTTTTTCTGTCCTAGCCCCCATAACAATACTTAAAACAGAGGCAACTGTGAGAATGCTGAAATCCATTAACTTACGCTCTTCTGCATAATAGGCTTGTAAGAATCCCAAAATCCTTTCTACTTCTTTTTCAGTAGCTTCTTGATGAGATTCTTCCATTTTCTTTAACTAAAAAAGGAATTAATTTAACAAGCTATTATTAATATAGCTATATTTTATGACAATATTATAGCAGTCTTCCTGTTCTATTATAATATTCTGATTTTCTTTTAAAAATATTGTGGTTTTCCTTAAAGCATATTTTATTGTGGTGCCTCATAACCAGCAATACTTTTATCAATGTAAACTTGATTTCTGGGATAAATGAAATGTATTTTTTAAAAAATAGGAGAACGTGCAAAAATAGTACTGAGCTGAAATAAATCTACTGGTATGAAAAACAAGCTTTTAAAATTGAGTTTAAAGTTTTATGAACCATTTACAAATTACAAAAATCAGCTGATTCAATAAATATTTTTCCATGTATTTATATTAGAAGATTATTAAGCCAGAACCAAACATCTGCATAAAAATCATTGTTCACCATGCTTTGTTATGACAAAAAAATCTATTTATGTTTCCTCTTCTGTTACTGTGCTATGAATTTCAGTTGAAAGTTTCTCATCCCCAAAGTAATATTAGGCTTTATCACAGGTAACTCACTTGTGCAGGCATTACTCTGTTTCCATCTGAAGTTGCCTTCTTTCGTTGCCTTTCAACGCGTGGCCTTTCAACAGGAGGATCAGGAGTAAATGTGCCCAACCTAAGCCAATGAAAACATTGTAAATTCCTTATGTAACATTCCAAATAATCTGAAAACACAACACTGTAATTCTATTTTGCAAACATGGCTAACAAACTAGAAGGATATAGCAACATAAGCCTCAAAAAACAACAACCTGGTGTTTGAACTGCTGAGAGATTAGAATTTCTTTCAGCTTCATGCCTTCAGACCTAATAATGTTTTAATTTTAGAGTCATGTCAGACTAATGCATATGAATGCAAAATCCTAGTCTGGTTGTTCTCAACTATACACATTTCTTATTTCAAATTTTAAAACACTATTACCTAAGAGCAACAAAAGGAAACATTTATAGAAGACCTCTAAAGCACTGTTGGTAAGAAGAATTTGTTCCAATTACAGAATAAATTAGGGTCAACAGCATTTTTTATTCAGAAACCTCCTTGCCCCAAACCCATTTGAGGTATGTCACATGGAATATAGGGATGATAACTTAATAAAAGGTCTTTAGTTTATTTTGCTCACTTCAACAACTCCTCAGAAAGTGCAAGTGCAAGTGCTGCTATCAAAGCTCAAAGACAGCAGTAGAGAAACACATCTCAAATTATATTGTGCAAGCTGCTTTAATTGTGCTATTCAAGTCCCAATCTACAATAAATCTGTAGCACAATTCCTGTGAAAGATATCACACCAGACTGAATGGAAGGGTACCACAAATAAACTCACATGAAATGGAAAACTGGTGCCCTCCTAAAGTATTTTTTTGCTTCTTCACCAAGTTTATGCCAAGCATTATGAGGTAAGAATCCACTAGCAACCTGTTCTTCTTCACTATCACTTTCTTCTGTTTCCAAACGATTTAGACCCATAAGTGATAACTGTAGGAGAAATATATTATGGTATCAATTTGTGTTTTTATACAAAATGCATAACAATATTAAATTAGAATTCAAGAAGAAATATGTTAAGGTACACAACATCATGCTTACGGAGTTACACTCATGTCTAAATCTATACTGAATGATACTAATTGCATATTAAATAATTCAAAATAAAGTATATTGCAACTTTGATCTGAAATTACAACATCTTAATCAATTTATCTTGTTTTTTTTTAAACAGGAAATTCAGTTTAAAATATATGGCATATGTTATCCCTTTGCACAAATCATTCCTCACTCACCACCTTCTCCAAAAATGCAGAACTATTTACATAACTTAAATTGAGGAGGCAGCCAATTTTCTCTTTGTAGTGATACAAAGAACTATTTGAATTGTCTTAGCTAGTATAACAGTGGTTCTCAACCTTCCTAATGCCGCGACCCTTTAATACAGTTCCTCATGATGTGGTGACCCCCAAACCATAAAATTATTTTCGTTGCTACTTCATAACTGTAATTTTGCTGCTGTTGTTAATAGTAATGTAAATATCTGATATGCAGGGTGTATTTTCATTGTTACAAATTGAACATAAAGCATAATGATTAATCACAAAAACAATATAGCAATGCTCGCTGGAGAAGCTTACTCTTCCTTGCTCAAAAATGTTGGGAGGGAGGGAAGGGGAAGGAAAGAAGATTGAAGGGGAAAGGAAGGAGATGGAGAAGGAAGGAGATTGAAGGGGAAAGGGAAGGAAGGAAGGAAGGAAGGAAGGAAGGAAGGAAGGAAGGAAGGAAGGAAGGAAGGAAGGAAGGAAGGAAGGAAGGAAGGAAGGAAGGAGAAAGATTGAAGTGGAAAGAATGGAGATGGAAGGAAGATTGAAGGGGAAAGGAAGGAGATGGAGAAGGAAGGAGATGGAGAAGGAAGGAGATTGAAGGGGAAAGGAAGGAAGGAGAGAGAGAGATTGAAGGGGAAGAGATGGAGATGGAGATGGAAGGAAGGAAGATTGAAGGGGAAAGGAAGGGGATGGAGAAGGAAGGAGATTGAGGGGGAAAAGAAGGAAGGAAGGAAGGAAGGAAGGAAGGAAGGAAGGAAGGAAGGAAGGAAGGAAGGAAGGAAGGAAGGAAGGAAGGAAGGAAGGAAGGAGAGATTGAAGGGGAAAGGAAGGAGATGGATGGATGGATGGATTGATCTTTGGAGAGTCATGTTTTTCCAGATGGTGATGAACTGCAACTCCCAGCATTCCCCACTCTTCCACAGTGCTTTTTAGGGCTGCTGAGGATGGCAGTCCAGTAAGGTCTGGAGACACACACAGATGGTGACGGGGGCGGGCCAGGTGGCACCGGGGAGGCTCCGGGACGGCACGGAGAGCAGCTGGGGTGGAGGGCGGCTGGGCAACCAGGAGGCGTGGGGACCGGCTCGGCACCACAGCTCAGCTCAGCTCAGCCAGCAGCAGCAGCAGCAGTGCATTGCCCGAGCAGGGTTGGAAGAGAGGGGGTGGTGGTGGCAAGTCCTGAAAGCAGCGTCCACATGTTTAGGGTGCAAACACCTTGGACGGTTTGGCTCCCCCACCCCTTTATTTACTGATCTGCCACAAGCTCATGCAAACAAGCCCCGAGGAGTTCTGAACGGGTGGTCATTTAAAAAAAAAAAGCTTTCAGCAACGAGGCAGAAAGGGGAACTCGCTCACGGCTCTTTTTTTTCCCTTTCTCGGTAACTGGGAAGGCAGCGGCCAGAGACGCCCTTATCAGACCTGGTTCCCTTCTGGTCGACCCCCAACCACCCACCCGCCCCCTTCACCTCCCGCTACAGATCGACGCTACCCCTCGGGAGTATTTCGCAAGGTTTTTTTTTTTTACCTTGGCCCTGCGCTTCTCCTAGACAGAAGCCAGGCAAGAGGACCTGAAAGATGCCGAGGAGGAGGTTCATAGCCGTGGCGACGCGCAGTAGCTGCTCTGCAATGGGTAGCGCAGCCCCGCCATGCTGCTGAGGCGGCTGCTTTCCTGTCTGCCCAAGCTGACTGGCGGAGCTAGCCTTGAGCAGAAATTCTCACTAGAGTCTTGGTTCCTAAGACCATCGGAAATATGTTTTCCGATGGTCTTAGGCGACCTCTGTGAAAGCGTCGTTCGACCCCCAAAAGGGTCGCGACCAACAGGTTGAGAATCGCTGTACTATGTGATTCCAGACAAGATAAGCAGACAAATATGTTTTTTCAAAACCCAGGTCTGTGATGCCAACTAAAAAAAATGAAAGTCTAAAGAAACCTGAGCAGTAATTTTTAATTTTCTTTGGCTCATGACTGGTGATGGAACAAAAATGAATTATTAACTGTGACACATGGCTTACGATTCTAACTACCCAGCACAGCAAAATAATTCTGCAGGATCAAAAAAGCATATCTAGATCACTACATTTTTGATATAGAATACTTTAATTTTCAATAATGCAAGAATCCACTAATTTGAAATTAATGAGAAAACCAGGGAAGAGGTTATAGAGCGTGATAGCCCAAGAGTTACAGCCTACATTTAAAATAAGCAAAGGGGTTCTAACTCCTACTAAAAAATATTATTAATGCAACAGCAAGCTAATAGTCTGGTTCTCATGAACTCCAGGACCTCAAGTGCACGGCATACTTTTTTTGGCTTCAGTCTCTAAAACTTGTATTTCAGCTTATATGAGTGAAAGATTTAAGTATACTTCTAAATACTGATAGTAGCTTTGCTAAAAATATATTTTGTTTCCCATTTAAACAATGAATACATGATGAGTTACTATCATGAAATGTTGATGGGATCATTATACAGTATATATAATCAAGTTCTATTTAATAAAACAGAAAAGTCTTATATTACTATACAGCTTCAAGTTCTATTTAATAAAACAGAAAAGCCTTATATTACTATACAGCTCATCATTGCAAACTTACTAAATCTTCAGCAAATGCAGATGGATCAAATACTGTCATATCTGAGTGTAACTGGCTTGCTTTTTCTTTTCCTAGATTTGATGCCAAAACTAGGAACTGGGCATCCAAAGCGGCCTCCCTTGCAAAGGACACTGTTTTGAAAGAAGAAAAATATTTTGCTAGATTCAAAGGGAATTGAACACAATAACGTAATTTTCATTAATATCCAACTTCTGATGGATGCCTGTTGTTTAGGTTAACTAAATAAGATTAAGTTAACAATTCAATGTAATGGGCTAGAAGAAAAGGTGCATTTTTGTGAGAGAAATATGTTGTCTATGCAGGGTGGATAATAATTGATGACTTTTTAAAAAAAATAAAAAATGGATGTTTTAAATCAAATTTATTTTAATAAAATGCTTGTGGAGTAAAAATCTATCTAAATATAGTTTTCTATTTAAGATACATTAATAATTTAGTTTATTCAGCATGAAATAGAGCTTAGTTATGTAGCATGAGGCTATATATTCTGCAATATTTACACTTTGGTAAACTCATTCAATGAATCCAAGCTTTGCAACCTGAGATAACATGCACTGCATTGATGCATTACATAATTTCACAGTAACCATGAGATAAATCGTAAAACAAAGTTCAGGAATATTCTTTTATCCCATTGTTTTTCAAATCTATGTACACTACAAACTGTATGATTGTTTGAAGAAAAAAGTTCAGTCAGACAGTCCAACTTCTTGCGAGATCTTTTTTTTTTCCCCGAGAAGTTGGAAGGTCTGATCGAAGTTTTTTTTAGTCCCACAAACTCCGTTTCCCTGCAGCAGGAGAAAAACGCGCCACAGCTGAAAAGCAGGTTAGTGAAGAAATGCTTCCGGGAAGAAAGAGGAGCTGGATGGTGGTACGCCAAACTCTACAGCAGCGCCAGGAAGAGAAGCGGCAGGAAACAAGGCTGCCATTTCCAGAACAAAGAATGGCGATGCGGGGCAATGCAGGGCGGCAAGCAACTGCTCTTCTTTGCTCTGCGTCACTGCACAAAGCCACTCCCCTCCCCGTTCTCTCCAGTGGTGGCGAGGGAGGGCTGGCGGAGGGAGGCGGCAGGGGACGCTTGCGCTGCCCCATCTTGGCGCAAGCCGTAGGAGAGTTGGTGGAGTAGGAGGCAGCAGCTGCCACCAGGCAGGTGAGCTATGATGAGAAGCATGAAGAAAGCCTCTTCAGCGGCGAACAGCAGCAGCAGAGCCTTTCACCATCACTCCTTCCGGCTCCAAAATGGTGGAGGGGGACTGGGCCTATCCCACCCATCCTCCATAGCATGGTAGTCTGGCTCAGAAGGGGAGTGAAAGTGAAAGTCACCGATCAAGAAAGTGAAAGTCACCGATCAAGAAATGCTCTGGCTGGGGGGGGTTGAAGTAAGCGGGTGCGGGGCAACTCCACCCTCCACCTGTTTTGCCTTGTGGCAGCAGCGGTGCAACATGCACTCTCCTGCCCCATTGCTACAATGAGATGGGATGGAGTGGGCAGGGTCCTAATTAGGGCTTATTTTTGGGATAGGGCTTAGAGTAGGCCCATTCCCAAAAATCAGAATAAGTCTTATTTTGGGGGTAGGTCTAATTTTTGGGTTAACACGGTATGTGTGATTAATCTATTAACCTAAAATCGGTTGTGATATCTGTTTTACTAACCAGACAGCTTGTTATTCTAAATAGGAAACCTTCATTTTGTTTGCAAATAATAATATTATAGATTGTAACTACCAGCAAGAATGAGTCTTTACATTTAAAGAGCACCTATCATTTCAGATCCATCATGGCAGCGCCTGTTAGTGGGCATCCACTCACCTGCTGCCTGCCATGTCCCTCACCTTGTTGTGTCACTGCCACATTACCAGCTGTCCCATTAAAGTGAATGGGACTGTTGTGAATCAACAGCAGGTCAGAGGATGAGCCGCTGCAGGACAGAGATGATAGTTGCTCTTTAAAAATTATGATTTAAATCAAGTTGATTTAAATCAAGCCTTTTTACTGGTGATTTAAATCATGATTTAATGGCAATGGCAATGTGGCATTGACTCATTACCAAGATTTGTTTAAAAAATCTCAGATAAGATTAGAATAAGGCCTTAGATTCACAAACACCAAGCTCTATATTTTTTGAAAATGTCCTAAACTTCAGAAATTCAATTTTTAAACCTTTCAAGCTAACAAAGTGAATCAATGGAGAGCAGTGTCAAGAATTACAAATTACATTTCACAATTAAGTTTATAATATTCTATCAGCAACACAGTGTAATCTACTGGCTAAAAACAGTAGCATGCAGGTATACTAGAAACTGCCATTTTTCTCCAAATGAAATAAATGTTAAGGGATAGAGCTACAGAGCCTCAACAGCCTCTGAAAAATTGCAGATTTGTGTCTCTGACACTATCTCCAAACATTAATGAGGCTAGCTACTTCTCAGTACTGGACTTTAAGAAGAAATAAAATTAAATTCCCTAACCCTCACATATTTTGGAAAGTAATAAAAATCCTTCCTTGAAGCTTAAGCTTTGAGGTTTACAAATTAAGGGTTGTCTCCAAAGTGCACTACAGTGTCATTACAAAAAGGACCAAACAAAGCCCACTATCAATCAGAACTATATAGCCATTTGTAACTGAAAAGGCAACAAAGATTATTTCTTTATTGATATTACCTGGTAACATTTTTTCATTTATATCACTTAGCATATTGCTTGCTTATCCTATGGGTGACTACTATGTTCATTATTACATTATTGTCTTGTAAAAGCAAGCTTTGGGTTTTTCTTAATACTTAAAACAATAAGAATTATTCTTAGTGCTGAGTTTCATACTTCATCACTTTATATTCATATTATATCACTTGATGTAATATATACTGCCCACCGAACATGAAGTATTAATAAAAATGACACTGATGCCTATCAATCAAAAAAGAAAATAGCAGTATTTTTTTTATTTGAAGCGATTTCTAGAAAGAAATCAAGCACTGAAGAAATGGTAAGTATTTGGGGCAATTCTCATCTTACCTCCAGTAAATAGTTTATCAGCATCTTCTAGAGCTTCTGTCAATTTATCATTATTGGTGCTTAGCATGAGCTCATGGTTCTCTAGGAAAACAGGGGAAAAAACATATTTAATCACTGAGATACCTAACCAAAAAGGCCACCTCATTAAAACCAGTATATGCACCAATCTGCAAGGCAGAGTTCCACTTCTTGAAGCACAACATGCCCAAAGATTCCAATTACGATTTAGATTTTAAAAACATTTTACATTTTTTTTAATAAAAAAAGATTGTCACACACACACACACACACACACACACACCCCACTGAGGTATTTAGACTTCATTCATTAGAAGAATGAAGGTTTGGGGGGGGGAGGGAAATCTCAGAAAGGTGGGAGCTTTCAAACTCCACCACCTCCAGGTCACAGCAAAGTGGGAATGAAAAAGATGCATGACTGGAATGCACCCCATCCATCATCTCCACAGACAAGAAAAAGGATCCCAAAACAGGAGAAGAGCACATATTTATGTACTGCACCGCTGTCTCGCACGATCTTAAGGCACATTCAGTCTAACACTGATGATGTTACCTAGTTTGGGCAAAGAAACATCTGCAAGAAAACAACCAAGCTCAGAGGGCACCAAGGAACCCTCGATCCTAAGACTTAGTCAGGAGTTTCCCTCTTTATCCCCCCCTCCCATCATCCCCGCCATGTAGACAGAGTTAAGCGGCAGCGACCGATGCGAGGCCACCAAGCAAGTTTCCTGGATCAATGGAGGCCTCATCCCGGATTAATTTGCGCCATTTCTCTCCTGTTCGGTGGGGAGGAACCTTACGCTGAACGGTAGAAATTAGTTCTCGGTACTGTTGGCGGATCAAGCGCCGCGTCGTCATTTCGTCAGATTCCTCCCCGGAAGTTTTCTCCTCGGAATGGCTCCGGCCGGACATTTCGGGCGCAATCACCGGCTCTGGAGCCGACCGACACTGCATAGAATCTCAGCGAGGGCCCGAGACGAGTCAGCCCTCCCGATTCCGACCCGGCCTCCGGCCTAACACTCTCTCGCGGGCCAGCTGTTCCTTCTCGCGCATTGAACGCCGGGAAGAGGAGGTGCGAAGTTGGACATAGAGATAAATAATGAAGAGAGAACGCTCAATGCCAAGAGGAAAGTCGCTCTTGTCACAATAGAGTTTAGAAGGTAGCAGAGTCATTCAGCCGTCTTCGTTTGATAACGAAGTGGCGAACAGCCCTCGAAAATTTCGGTTGTAAATCTTGCTTTGGTGATAGGTATAAACGTTAGGAGAGCTCTAAAATAACAAAAAAGGTGGCTCTGTAGCTGTAAAGTTGGGTAGGCTGACATATCTAAAGCTATGGATCTGATCCACGGAAGCTTTCTGAAAATGTTGACGGCAAGTCAGAAGTTTCAAGCCAGAACGCCACGGTTGCAATTTCCGAGGTTTGATAGTGGTGCGTCTTTTCCCCATCACTTATCAGTTGCTCAGCCGTTTTAAGATATGTGAATTTCAACATGCTGGCTCAGGAAATCTTGGCGTTGAAGTCCACACATTTTATTACTGAATTTGAGAAACGCTCACCTGGAAGAATGAATGAGGAGTTGTGCGTCTTTTCTCGGCAAGACCAGCGGGAAAACATAGCGTGTTTTCCTGTACGTACCAGTTGGGGCTGTTGTTTCCCTACATACTGGTGGGTGACACAGTCACTGGATATCTAAATAAACCTTTTTTTTTCAGGGTTGTGGTGCTCAGTTGCTTCCATGCCTATCTTTCAAAACGAAGATAATTATTAATGGCATTGGTTCACAGCACCACGTAGTGGTAGGTTTTTAGGTCATCTTTTCAACAAGAAATACTACTGTATTTTATAAAAGATCTCGTTGCTTTTATGTTATTGGAGATGCAGTAAAATTAATGCTTTGTTAAAATAGATTTTTTCATTTCGGTAAGAAGCAATGACACGTAGTATATCAACCACTTCAAGATTTCGTATTTTCAGATATTTATATTTTTTTGAAGTTTATCTCTTAACCACATGGCAGCTGTACTAAAGAAATTGACTTGCACTACAATCAAAAGTCTTACTGTTCAGCAAGGGAAAAACAAACATACTTTAAAATATTCGCTGCTTATAAATCAGTTACAGATGATTCATGAATCATGGCATGAATTGTAAATAAATATGTTGTTGTCTTTTTCAGCTTTTTTCATTTATAATTTTGTGTATATTTAATTTTGTTTGTATGTATAAACTAAATATTAAAACATGCAGTATAAAATTAAGGATATCTAGTAAAGAAATTTGCTCTTGTTTTCCTAATCTAGTTCTAGGTTTCAGGAAATGCTGTAAAGTGAAAGTACATATATACCTGAATTATGGGGTTTTTTTGTTTTTTGTTTTTTTAAGAGAACTGATGTCTTGCTTACATCTTGGCAGTGAAAAAAACTTAGGTTACCTCCTCCGATGGCAACATAAGTGTTGTGTTGTATTTTGCTTTGTTTCTACACTAAGATATGACTAAGATATGAACCTTTCATCCCACACATGAGTTTGACAAAAAAATGGAAGAACAAACCATTACTATATGCTTACTATTTCTATTCCTACTGAATAGAAATATGTTGATTTGGGGAAGATTTGGGGGAGACATTGTAGAAGCAGAACAATGTTAGTCTGTGGTGCCCAAAAAAAATATCAGGACTGGTTGTATCCTTCACCAGTCTAGATCTTCATTAATCTGATGCAGTGATTACTGCAGCTCCTGGAAACCTATGCCTATACATAAAATGTGCTGGTCAAAAAGACCGATGATGTTTGACTGAGGCTTATTTGAACTCACTTTTTTAGTATGGTTTACAGACTTTAAACTCATATTTCTTCAAGCTTCAGGATGGTCAATTGCATTTTAAAATGCATAAAATACATTTTCTTTTTTTTAAATGTCAACGTTGCTAACATGTTCTTGCTTTGACGACAGATGGAAATGCAGCCATTTTTCTCTGTTGCTTCTAGAGTTAGTTGATGCTGGGAGGGGGAATGTGGATGAGAGTCCAGCTAGTCATAATCATAACTCAGCCGTGGGAACCCAAGGTCATTGGACCCAGAATTAATAGAGTTTTGGCGGGCTGGAGAGCTGGGGAGAAAGCCCGCGCTTCAAGCTAATTGGGAAATGTGATTTATGACTGTTTATTGGAGGAGGGAATTGTGTTTTGATACTTTGTATCCAGGGGAGGGGAATTTAGTTTTTGGTTTTGACTATGTAGTGCCGATATTTTGTTTCTCGAATAAAAGATTCTTTAAGGTAAACAATGCCTCGAAGTTCTTTTGAAGAGTTTCATCTGTCGGAACCATGACATGTATCAAATTGCAGCCTACCTGTTAAAACTGCCAACATACTTTTGTAATATTTTTTTTTTAAGTTCTATAAGTACTGGTCTACTGTTGGACATTATACTATTTATGTATAGTAAATATGTAGAAGTCAATATCAAAATATTTTCAGATGGCAGTTAGAACCAAACTACAGATAACTTAGATATATAGCATTTTTGTTCTGTATTGGGTGAACAATTGGCTTTGTTTTCATTGCAATGATTATTCTCCCCTAGTGATGCATAGAACCATAATCTAACCAATTGTCCAGCAAGCCAGCCTACAAAAACTACATAGTAATTGTCTACATTTTTGTTCCTATTTATTTATTGGTTTATTTGTTTTCCTATTTTTTAATTATCCCAGGTGATTTTATGCTATTTCACAAATTCAGTAGTTCAAATAACAATAACTAGCATCAACACACATAATCCATTAAATCTCAGTCTCAATTTAAAGAGGTAGGACTTAAGCCTTTTAAATTAAAATGTTCATTCAAAAATTTAATAATAATAATAATAATAATAATAATAATAATAATAAAGTTGGAAGGGACCTTGGAGGTCATCTAGTCCAACCCCCTGCTCAGGCAGGAAACCCTATACCATTTCAGAAAAATGGCTGTCCACTCTCTTCTTAAAAAGTTCCAGTGTTGGAGCATTCACCGCTTTTAGAGGCAGGTTGTTCCACTGGTTAATTGTTCTAACTGTCAGAAAGTTTCTCCTTAGTTCTAGGTTGCTTCTCTCCTTGATTAGTTTCTATCCATTGCTTCTTGTCCTGCCTTCATGCGCTTTGGAGAATAGCTTGACTCCCTCTTCTTTGTGGCAGCCCCTGAGATATTGGAACACTGCTATCATGTCCCCCCTTGTTCTTCTCTTCATTAAATTAGACATACCCAATTCCAGCAACCATTCCTTATATGTTTTAACCTCCAGACCTCTAATCATCTTTGTTGCTCTTCTCTGTACTCTTTCTAGAGTCTCAACATCTTTTTTCCATCGTGGTGACCAAAACTGGATGCAGTATTCCAAGTGTGGCCTTACCAAGGCATTGTAAAGTGGTATTAATACTTCACGTGATCTTGATTCTATCCCTCTCTTAATGCAGCCTAACACTGTGTTGGCTTTTTTGGCAGCTGCAGCACACTGCTGGCTCATATCTAAGTGATTGTCCACTAGGACTCCGAGATCCCTCTCACGGTTGCTACTATTGAGCAAGGTACCACCTATACTATATCTGTACATTTGGTTTTTCTTGCCTAAATGTAGAACTTTACTTTTTTCAGCGTTGAATTTCATTTTGTTAGATAGTGCCCAGTGTTCCAGTTTGTTCAGATCCTCTTGTATCTTAAGCCTATTTTCTGGAGTGTTGGCTATTCCTGCCAGCTTGGTGTCGTCTGCAAATTTGATGAGTTCCCCATCTATCCGCTCATCCAAATCGTTGATCAAGTTGTTGAAGAGCACTGGGCCTAGATGCAGTTCCATTGAGGACCACACGCTGACTATGGCTGGTCCGCCAGCTACGAATCCATCTGGTGGTGATGTTGTCTAACCCACATTTTTCTATCTTATCAAGTAGTAGGTTGTGATCTACTTTATCAAATGCCTTTCTGAAGTCCAAGTAAATTATATCCACAGCATTCCTCTGGTCCACTAATTTTGTCAAATGGTTAAAAAATGCAATAGGTTTTGTCTGGCATGATCTGTTTTTGACAAACCCATGTTGGCTTTCAGTAATGACTTTGTTTATCTCTAGATGTTCACTGATTTGTTGTTTGATTATCTTTTCCAGAATCTTCCCAGGTATTGAGGTCAGGCTGATAGGTCTGTAGTTTCTATTTTTTTTTCCTTTTTTGAAGATGGGAACTACATCAGCTCTTTTCCAGTCCTCTGGTAGTTCCCCAGTGCTCCAGGATCTTTGAAAAATATAGTTCAGTGGTTCTGAGATCACATCTGCCAGTTCCTTGAGAACCTTGGGGTGTAATTCATCTGGTCCTGGCAATTTGAACTCATCTAGGCTGGGTAACTGCTCACTTACCATTTTCTTGCTTATCTTAACTTGTGTTTCTAATCTATTTTTTATGGTACTGTTTTTGATAGGTTGGACTGTTTTCCCCTTTGTATAAAGACAGATGCAAAAAAGGAGTTAAATAGTTCTGCTTTCTTCCTGTTGCTTGTCACCTTCTTGCCACTTTCCCCCACTAATGGACCAATCATTTCCTTAACTTTTTTCTTATTTTTTACATGTTGAAAGAAGCTTTTTTTGTTATTTTTGACTTTGGTCACAAGCCTTAGTTCATTTTGAGCCTTAGCTTTCCTCACTTCATCTTTGCAGGCTCGGACTATTTGCTGATAATCTGCTTTAGTTATGTGCCCCTCTTTCCACTTTTTATACTTGTCCTTTTTATCTTTCAATTTATCAGAGAGTTCTTTATGCAGCCATGCTGGTTTTTTTTGAGAGCTATTGTTTTTCTTCTTTGTTGGTATTGTGCTAGACTGGGCTTTTATTATCTCATTTTTCAAAATTTTCCAAGCTTCTTGAGTTGTTTTCCCCTTGAGGATTCTCATCCATGGAATCATTCCCAAACTCTCTCTAAGTTTATTGAAATTAGCTCTCTTAAAATCCAAGACTCTAATTTGTCTGTGTTCTATTGCTTGTGCTTCCAGAATGTTGAATTCCAATATTGCCTGATCACTCTCCCCCCCCCCCCCACAAGGTTCCTGTGGCTTCAACACCTTCTATCATTTCATCTCTGTTAGTGAGGATTAGATCCAATATGGCTAATCCCCTAGTTCCCTTCTCTACTTTTTGGGAGACAAAGTTGTCTGCTAGGTTTGTCAGGGATCTATATGATCTTCCACTGGGTGCAGAGTTTGTCTCCCAGTTGATGTCAGGGTAGTTAAAGTCCCCCATTACTATTGTGATGTGCTTCCTACATACCTTAGTTAGCTGACTAGCAAAAAGTTCATCTATTTCCTCTGTTTGGTTGGGTGGCCGATAGTATACACCTATGGCAATGTCATCCCCCCCCCCTTTTTATATTGACCCAAATACATTCAAGACAGTTTTCATCATTGTTGTGCTCTAGTTTTGCTAGTATATTTCTGGGAAGAAATTCCGCAGGAGAGGACCTTTGGCAAAACATATTTCCCTTTGTGCCTTCTCTGCCACTCCACAAAGAAATAAGAAATTCTGAGTATATATTCTCTCAGCACCCTTTATAGGATTTTATAAATTATTACCTACTCTTTAAATTGCACTTGGAACCAAACTGGTGTCAGTGCAGCTCCTATGCTACAGGAAAGTGTATGATAATATTGTGAGAAATGTTGTTTCTCAAAGTTAGCAAGTTCAAGACATGTGGACCTACTCCCCGAATTCCCCAGTAGTCCACACATCCTGAAGTTACTGAGGATGTGAAACACTACCGTATGTTAAAAAAGAGATGGCCTTGGGAAGAAGGAAGGGAGCAATTTAATAAGGAGAAAAGATTACACAATCCTAAGAAAGAAGCGTGAGAAAGAAACTCAAAATAACCCAACCTTGATTTTGTTTGTCAGGGAGAAACTTCAACAGGATATTTATTCTACCCTGAACCAATAAGGAGCACTTGTGGTTCTAGTTCTGTTTCCTGATCCTCTCGAAAGGCTGTCATCTTGCTGATAGCCATTAACATATAGGCAACTGTAATTTGCTCCAAATAAAGTTTCTGGATAGTCTTGAAATATGACAGGGATATATTGGCTCTAAATTAAAAATAATTAAGTTGCTGATATTCTTGGAACCAAGTCTCTTTATTTTATTAATCTTGCTAAAATGTAGGCTGTGAGACTCTGAATCATTTCAGTTCTAAGCAGCTACTACACAACCTGAGACTTAATATAGGTCATCAACAAAAACGAGCTGTGCAGTTTCCGTTCTATGATTCATATATTGGAAAATGATTTAATGTGCTTTCAGGAACCATGAGCATCTAGTAGGAGTGGGTGTGGGAGGGATTTTCATACTTGTGAGATTGTCATCATATAAATCACATGATTTACAGTATGTACTTAAAACAGATGTCATGTTGTGAGTATCTAATATTGGAATTTGTATAATGCCATTTTAATGTCTCTGAATTTTGTTATGAGCACCATCATCAAGATTTTATGATCCTTGGGTTTGTTTGCACTTCAAACTAACTAAAGTTTAATTGAAATGCTTTACTGAATGAATACAATTGTCTGTGTTTGCACAACACACTGAACTATTGCTCATTCAAATGGGCTGCACTTACAACACACAGTGCTAGGCTCTTTATCCATGATTAACTCAACTACAGTTTATTTAGATCCTCTATTTGGGGGGAATACCTTGAATCATAGACTAACCAAGCAGACTGACATAATACAATATGCTAGACCTGCTTTTCTCAGCTAAGCTTGGATGAAATTCTAGGTACAATGAGAAGTCGCAAGAGGTTCCATAAAAAGTTGTGAATGAAAAGAAATTTAAAAAAATAACTTTGAATGCTGTACATTGCCTATACCTGCAGTAGTGGGAATTTTTATGTGCTGTGGCTTAGATGCCAGCCTTCCACATTGCTTTTCTTGTACATGTGGCAAAACGTAAATTAGAAGTAAATTGCATCGTAAGGTTTCATATTTATTTTTAGATTTCTATATATTTCTGGTTTCTTTCTCTTTCCTGTATATATACACACATGCACCACACACAGACACATCTACGCAGGTATTCTCTGGGACCTGAAAGTTATTTCAAGGGCTCTTCAAGGGCAAAAAGGTTGAGAAAGGCTGTGCTAACCTATGCTGGACAAATTTGGGATTGAGTGTAGCCTATGAACCCTTTTTTGCTGTAGTTTCTTCAGATTTAATTACTTCAGACTGAATCACCATTGCTAACAAGACAAGCAAACTACTCTATACAAATGTGCATAATGAGCCTCCAGAAGATGGATTATTTTTGGTTGCAATTAAATGCTTTACACTACAGTGTATCTGGAGGAATAATTTGCAATAGTGTTTTTCCTGCACTAACAGTGCCACATGCCTTCCCTGCATCCCGAGGCTTACCCATCTCTACAGACAGTCACTTTCTCATTCTATAGTTATGTTTATTCAGTTGTCAGAACACCAGGACTGGAGAGGAGCTAATAATATTGAAGCATTAAAAGAGAAGCTGCTCTCATTATCCAGAAATACTCTCTGTTTACAGATCAGGAGGTTTAAAAATTTGAAAGAAAAAAACTGATTTGATCAGACAATAGAGGTCTACACTTACACTATGTATAATATTATGGAAACAATGATTTCATAACTATATTTTCCCTGAAAAGCTAGACTATTTTTAATACTATTACTGTAAGCACTGAGTTTTATACCCGAGCATAGTATTGTGAGTACAAGAGAAGTAGGTGTTTGAAAGGTCATGTGTATTTTTAGCAATTATATTCTAATCCTTCTCCTTGTCATTTTGTTTAACTCTGTTCATTTAAAAAGCCTCAACTCTTCACAGATACGAAGTTTAAAAATATGTGAAATAAATAAACTAATAAATGAATGAATAATAAAACAAACAATACTAATTTTCCACTGTGAAATTGTTTCCCACAAATCAGGACCAAAAGCTTGTTTTTTTGTTACTTTTTAGACATTAAATCCTTGCTTCTGACACCAGCCCTGCTGAGTGAAAGGATTTGTTTTTGCTTTCCTTTCATTCCTCTCGCAACAGTGCATGGTTTTCTGTGCTCTTTGGTTGCAGAAAAACAGGCCAGCTCTATCCAGCTACCCTTGCATGCAATCTGATTCCTGTTCAATAAACAGGAGCCTTGCCAAGCGCATTTGACTTGTAACTGCCATCCCTATTACAAAACTGTGGATTAAAAAAAAAAAAAAACAAGCTAAGGATAACCTTCTGATAGTGTCAGAAGAATGCAGTGGGAGAACAGCCAGAGTGTCTCAAGAACAAGTCAGACATCATTTTATGCAGGTTATTATTGTATCAGGCCAATTTATAGAAAAATGAAATAATGGCATTTGAGGATTAACTTTTCTGTGGAAAAGAATGGGATGTTTCATTCAGCGTACTGTCAACTTTTAGAAATAGTTATTTATTAGATTTGTACTGTACCTTTTATCTGTAAGCTCATGGATATATATTAGATAGATAGATAATGGATCTCTTTTCATTTCTCCATACCACAATCTTCTCAGGTAGCATAGACTGAGAGAGGGTTTTTTTTTTCTTTTTACGATCCTGTAATCCCTTGTATTAGGGTGAAATTGGGGCAACGGAATGCAGCTGAGTATTTACTGGCTAGATGTCCTTCCAGATACCTATGTGGAGTTCGCAGCAGATATGTTCTCTTCGCACCCAAATAGAGAAACATCTGTTCCTGCCTAGAATTGAAACTGTCAACTCCTGGCCACCATGCCACTTTTAGGCTGAGAGAGAGTAACTGGCCAATTAATCACCCAGTGAACTTCTGTGGCTGAGGGTAGAATTGAACCTGGCCTTCCCCAACCCTGTGACAGCATCCAGCCATTGCACGACACTGGCTCTCATGACTGGTATACATGATTCTCCAGAAAAGAGTTTTTGGTTGCATCATGTGTTTACCCAATATTATGCATGTAAACTTTAAATTTTGAAGAGGGAATGACAGGTTCTTTTTAAGCAGAAAAAATGGGATATACACCCACACCTTTATAGAATAACAGAGTTGGAAGGGACTTTGGGGGTCTTCTAGTCTGACCTCCTGCCCAAACAGGAAACCCTATAACATTTCAGACAACTGGCTGTCCAATCTCCTTAAAAACTTCCAGCGTTGGAGCACACACAATTTCTGGAGGCAAGCTGTTTCACTGATTAATTGTTCTGTCAGAAAATTTCTCCATATTTCTAGATAGCTTCTCTCCTTGATTAGTTTCCATAGAAATATTAATATCTTTACCCTGCACCTCTGTGTGTGTTAGAGATACAGCATGTAGGTATTTATATTCCTATAAATGGGTGTATAAATGAGAGAGAGAGAGAGAGAGAGAGAGAGAGAGAGAGAGAGAGAGAGAGAGAGAGGAATCCATTAAGACTGTGAGAGAAAAGGACACACCAGCACCTGAGCTAGCTCTGAAGCACATAATAAAGGCCTTTTCTTTGTAATGTTTTCCCGATCAAATAGCTGATAGCTCCTGCAGCTCCTGTAGAGCAGTGACGTACTGCAGCTTAGAGCTCCCGGGTCAGATTCCTCACCCTTCGGTGTTATCCAGTCCTGTGTTCTCAAACCTAAGCCAATTCACATTAATAGAACTCTTTCATGTGATCCAGGGGGAAAGGGATCCCAACCCAGAGGAGTGAAAGGCAGCGAAGGACTTAGGAAAATGAGCTCTCTCTTTCTGTTTAGTTTAAGGAAGACTCTCTTTTAGTTTAAAGGAAGGAACACTAGGTAAGTACATCCTAAATCACACTTTTATAAATCCTTGACAACAGAAAGCTTGATGTATATTGTCAACTCAAGCTTGCAGTGTTATCAAAAAAAGGCCTTTGTTTTATATTTTGTATTTCTTACTGAAACTTTCATTTTACGATCATTCTTAGGCTATTTGTTTGCTAGCCCATGTGATGATCAAAGTAAAAAGTATATTTTATTTTTTTAAGCATGTATAAATGGAGTAATGTTCCCATGTGTCATAAAGCCAAATAAGGATGTTATGCTAACATGAGTTATGTTAATGTAACTGCTCTAAAGGGTAGGATTATACCAGTGATTCTTTTTAACTTGTGAGAAACTTATTTATTAACTTTCAGGAGTTTATTTATTGGTTCTCAGTGTCACACAATACAGCAAAATATAGGAAAACATTTCCAACCCCAGTACTATGCTTGGTGTTTTTGGTTTCCATCCACCCAAGTATGTCGTACACATATATGATTCTTTTTTCTTACCTTGAGTAATTCTAAAAATAAAAATGCTGACACATTCCTATAGTCTCCACGCTTTTTATCCCGATATCTAAATCTCATTATCTTGTTAATTTTATTGTGTTCTGTATTAATTGAAATCATCTCTGAAGTTTATTAAAATCAAATCAATGCAACACAGAATATTCAAACTACATTTTAAATCTTTTTAATCATGCATGGAAGAAAATGAACAAACCATATTTAGTGTCTTTCTCAACTTACCCTTGTTTTGTATTTGTTACAAATTTATATTTACCTTTCCTCCAAGGCATTAATCAGCTTGATTATATAAGCAGGGCAATCCTAATTTAGGCAAAGGCCTATCTAGTTTAGCTTTCACCTTCTCAGAGTAAATAGTAACTTAGATTCAGTATTTCTCAACCTCAGTAACCATGGTTGGCTGGGGAACTCTGGGAGAATAAGATTGAAAAACAGTGAGTTAGAGTACAGATAGTTCTCGACCTACAACAGTTCCTTTAGTGATTGTTCAAAGTTACAACTGCACTGAAAAAGGTGACACTTTTTCACACTTATGACCATTGCAGCACCTCCTTTTGATCACCTGATCAAAATTCAGACACTTGGCAACTGACTCATGCTTATGATGGTTATAGGGTCATGTGATCACCTTTTGTAGCCCAACAAGCAAAGTCAATGGGGAAGCCAGATTTGCTTAACAACTGTATTACTAACTTAACAACTGCAGTGATTCACTTAACCCATGCTAACTCAGGAATTCTGGGAGTTGAAGTCCACGAGTCATGAAAGAGCCAAAAGTTGCTTACCCCTGACTTAACCACTGTAGCAAGAAATTGCTACATTCTGCATTTCTCATAAAATGGAGAAAACTTGTTTAACAAATGTCTCACTTAGCAACAGAAATTTTGGGCTCAATTGTGGTGATAAGTCAAGGACTATCTGTAAATAGTAAATAATGAGTCTCCAGCAAGGCAACAATACTTTTCTGCTGTGGTTTGCCTGCATCTTGATACCCTTTGTGAACTTTACAAAAGGAGTTACAAATCTGTATCAGCATCTGCTAAGTCATGTGAAAGTAAAGGATCTTCATCCAGTGTGAATGCACAGAATGAGTTACAAGGATCATGTTGCATAGAGAAGTTCTTATTCTACACCAGTGTTTTTCAGCCTTGGGAACTTGAAGGTGTGGAACATTTCAGGCTGTGGAATTCTGGGAGTTGAAGAATTCTGGAAGTTGAAGTCCACACACCTTAAAGTTTCCAAGGTTGAGAAATCCTGTTTTATGCTATTCTTTTACTTCTTTTTCATAGATATTTCTAGTAAGAAAAAAGATAGGAAAATATTTGAAAAACACTGAAAATGATATGCTTAGTTGATGAAATCACTAACTGCCTCCTTCATAACATACCTTGATGAGGTAAGTTGATTGCAGAATATAAACCCAAATTGGAAGCAATCTCTATCCTTTCAAATTGAAACTTGAAATAATAAAAACCCATTACTAAATTATGTGTACACCTTCATGACTACAGTACACTTTCTATAATTATTGGTTTTTGTGTGGGTAAAGCGCAAAACTTATTACTGAAGTTTATTCAACTGACAGGTGTTAAAAGATCCCTTTAAGTACTTAGACTTTTCTCATAATTTTTGAAACAATTTTATTGTTTAGCTAGATGAATCCCCAAGCCACAGGAGTGACATTTTGTACAACCATTGTTAGGACAGAGGAAAAAAGAAAAGCAAAATCTAAAAATTAAAAATTAAAAAAATGAACAAAAACATAAGGATTAAGAAGGGTGACATATCTGCAAAAACCTGAATATATGACAACCCTAGCTTAACATAACATCATACTTAATAACATCTGATGGTTCTTTCCCCACCATTTCATTCTATATCTATGAAATAGGTTAGGCTGAGACACAATGAGAGAAAGCAGTTGTGTTTCATGAAAGCACAGGAATTACTGCTTGGACTCTTCCAGTCCCACCCTACCTGCAAACTGCTGAGTTCTACAGTGATCTTGGTAACATCACTGGATATTCATTTTTATTATTTTAGCATTTTATATTGTACCTCCCTTTGGATAGCTGGATTATTGTAAAAACATGTCAGACATAGAAACTGAATTTTAAAAAAAATATTTGAAACCCAGGAGTTTAAACCTAGTGAACTGCAAAGGGAAATAGGAGAAATAACAGAAGGAATCCTACAATTCATCTGAAGTTACGTAAAAGGAGGGGAAATCTGCATCAACCTCATCTGTTGTTGTTTTTTTTATCCAAAGATGCTTTGTAGAATATTTTCCATGTTTGTTTATATCACTACGGATTAGGAGAAGGAATTCAGTAAACTGAAACTTAAAATAGCATCTGAAATTTTAACTCTTTCTTAAGTTGCATAAAAGGTTACAAGTGAGTTCAATCAGAATAGAAGAGGGGAGGTCTTCTAGTCCAGCCCCCTACTCAAGCAGGAGACCCTATACCATTTCAGAGAGGTGGCTGTCTAGTCTTTTCTTTCAAACCTCCAGTGATGAAGCACCCACAATGTCTGGAGGCAGGCTGTTCCACTGGTTAATTGTTCTCACTGTTAGGAAGTTTCTCCTTAATTCCAAGTTGTTTCTCTCCTTGATTAGTTTCCATCCATTGTTTCTTGTCCTGCCCTCTGGTGCTTTGGAGAACAGGTGGACCCCCTCCTCTTTGTGGCAGCCCCTCAAATACTGGAAATACAAATACTGTATTCCAGTATTTGAACAGAGTATATTTTTATTTATTTTATAGTACAGTAGTGGCCAAAATTGTGGAAACCTTTTGGGAAAAGTGTATTTTTGAGGTTTGATGGCTAGTAACACCACTTTTTTTGGAGTAGTACCATAAAATTATATATCAATGGAAAGATAATTTAATCAAGAATGTAATGCAACAAAGTTTGTTCAATTGTCTGTATTGTATTCTATGAAAAGTTATAGCCAAATAACCAGAAAAAGGAAGCACAACTTGCTTAGGCTGATATCAGGTAGCTTTCCTTCATCTGATTGTAGCCAATGAGCATGAGTGTTTAGAGAGCCAATCAGGTGTCATCTTGTTTTGGCAATGAGCCAATCAGAGCACAGTAGGATTCAGCTATTGATGTCGTGTATTGAAGCTGAGAGGAGGACATTTGTCAGTGTGTTATGTGATCGCTATCAAATTGGTTGGGTTTTTGTTGTGTTCTTTCATTTAGTGAGCTTGTAAAACGGAATAAAATTAAAGTAATGGTGCAAAGAGTTGACTGGGTGTCCAGAAAGCGATGTAAAATAGTATTATTAAGTGAACAAGGCTACAGTTATATAGAAATTAGAAGAAAAATTGGTGGAAACATAACCAAAGGTGGCATTTCTACTGTACACTTTTTCCAAAAGGTTTCGACAATTTTGGCCACTACTGTATATCCAGTATACTGTATAAATTAAGTTCATATCTTAATTACTGCTTTTACAAAAAACAGCATGCACTAAAGATAGGAAGAAAAAAAGAGCTAAAAATAATCTTTATTGTGAATATCCCAGAAATATTCCAGAACAGTAATAGAAGCTGCAATGAATTAACTAGATTCTTTTTAAAAAAGCAGTTCTTATATCCAGAATTATCTTAAAATTTTTGGAAGAAAAACAAACTGACCCAGTTACATTTTTCAAATTTAATTCTGTATAAGGGATTGGGAAATAGACAATTTCCAAATTGTCCTGTGCCAGTATACAGTGTAATATACTTAAACCAATGTGCTAACAAAACATTTGATAAATTTTCTCTATCTTTTAATATTCCAACTGATTTTAAATTAACCAGACTTCATTACTCCTAGTAAAGGAGTAAATCTGGTAAAACTGCAGAAAAAACTTGCCGTATACTATTTTAGAGAAGATCATTTATTGTAAAATTGCTTCTCTTCTGAAATCAGCTTTGAAAACATATCTAGATTATACTGAACATGGCAGTCAGGCAGACCAGACAGGAAGCACAACCAGATGAGTTAATTATACTTTATTATAAGGCTACATTAACAGAATCTTGCAAATCTGATAGTACAAATCTTCCACCATCTCTTTTACAGCCTGAGAAGTAAAGGAGGTTCCTTTCTGAGTCTCTTTCTCTGTCATTATGTAGCTGTAGGCTATGCCCTTTCTTATCCAATAGTCCTCTAGGCAGTCTTTCTCTTTCTTCCCCCACCCCACCCCTGGTCATTCCTGCATACAATTAGAGAACAAGAACTGATAGAGCAGTGGTGGCGAACCTATGGCACATGTGCCAGAGGCAGCACTCAAAGCCCTCTCTGTGGGCATGTGCACCATGCCTCAGAGATGGCAATCATGCCTCTTCAACCAGCTGCCCGCTAGCTCGCTAAGGTCCCACGTGGCTGGATGTATCCCAGCATGGCTGGTTTCCTTCCCCCCATCCCATCCCTCCTGGCCTCGCATGCTCTCCTTTTCTCAGGCAAAACCCACTGCATTGCCTCCTCAGC